TTCAGCCGGGAAATCTTTAAATTAAAGTCCACTTTTGAAACTAAAAGACGTTTGATCACCAATTGCTTTTTGTTATCGTGGAGCAAATTTTACCTTCCATTGGCAAAAAATAGCAAAAAAAAAGAGGAAAAAGCTGAAATGAAAAATTGAGCGTGAACAAATTTTAAACTTTTTCCCAAAAACGAAAAAATACACGACCTTATTAAGTTTATTCATTTCAATCATTGACACTTAATAAATGAAAGCCATTGCGAAGCATCAATCAGTGCTGTGCAATAGAAAAAATGAATCTTTAGCAAAAATCAATCCCACTCTTTGGTCATTTCAGGCATCTGGTTTTCTCAGTTTCGATAAAGCGGGTAAATGTATTCTGAGATTAACAACACAGAGGTAATGATTCACTTCGTAAACCCAAACAAAAAACAGAAAAAAAGAGACCTAATAACGACAAAGAATGCAAGAAAAAATAAGACTACGGGCGTCGAACCCGCACCTCCGGACCAGAATTCACTCACTTCCCTTTACCACATAGCAATGGCATCTCGCATAAATTTAATTTCACGCATATTTATCTTAGATATCAGGCAGCAAAGAATAGGCGCTTTGATCAAGCGGGTGAAGTCAGATCATCTGCGGTGTAATTAACAAGAAAACTCTGCAGAAACGGCAAGGAAACCGAAAGGACTGACTTTTTTTTTGTAAAACTTCAATTTTCCATTTTCAAAGAAAGAATGTGCCCTTGAAACTCTTTGAATTTTGCGATCAATTTATGATTGACACTCTTTTGATAAAATTAACCATATTTAAGAAAACTGGATCAATAGTAAAATTTTTATTCCTCTGGGAAATGCGAAAACTAAATTCCATTTTTGAAACTAGAAGTCGTTCACGATTTAAAAAAATCGCTAAGGGTTGAGGACACAAACCTGTGCTTTTTGTGGGTAATTTGAAACATGGATGCTGGCAGGCGGCGTCTCCCCTGGTGATGACATTTTAGGAAGCCGCTGCCACAGCTCCTCTGTGATAAAAGGCATGAAAGGAGCCAGAAGTTTCAATGATGTGTCCAAACACAAATAGAGAGCTGCTCTGCAACTGGTCGCTGTTTTGCTCTCACTTTCAGAGCTGGAGTCTGAACTTGATCTTAAAATAGGCTTAACGTGTTCCTGAAACATCCAAGCAGTACATTTAAGTCAGCCGAAATACAAATCTTTCAATTTTTGAGCTTTAATAGAAAACAAATCGCATTGAAGCTCTTGTAATTTCCAAAATCCTTTTAGATTGATCACATTCATTAACACGTGTTATCAAAAAACCGTTAACTGTTAATGTAAAGATTTTTTTTTACTCCGCTGCGAATTCTAAACACCAGCGAGACAACGGGAAACGTAGCTTTATAAAGGCAAAAACAAGGTGAAACGAGGAAAGAAGTTATTAAATACGCCTTCAAAAATGAAATTTTTAATGTGCCGGAATCGAACCTCCGACATGGAGATTGCTAGTCTCACTCTCTCACATCTGCTCCACGATCGCTAGAAAATTTACTGATACTAGCTACCAATCACATAGCCATTTCTGACAGTTGGAAAAGACAACAATGAACGCTAAGAAAGAGAAAAAAATTGACTTGAATTTTGAAAAAACTTCGCGTTTCGAATTTTAAAGCAAAAATATATGCCCTTAAAGCTCTATGAATTCCAAAAACAATTTATGATTGGTGATTTTTTGATAAAATTCCCAACTTGAAAAAGTTGAATCAATAGGTAAAACTTTTATTTCGCTAGGAAATCTGATAATTAAATTCCATTTTCGAAAATCGAAGTCGATCACGTTTTTCGTGATTTAACATTTTTGCTGTTTGGTAGTGGAGTCTGCCTTCTTTTTAACACAGGAAATAAAGTGAACTTAGAAAAATTCAAACCGCGAAAAATACGTTCAGTACTCTTAAAAAAAGGAGCACTTATCTCAGAAGCACTTATCTCAGATTTGGCATATAATTATATAGAACAGTCAAAAAGCCCTTTTTCAGGAAAAGGAGCTTTCTTTCTACCCAAATTAGGGCGTAGCCGCAATGAATTTTCTTTCGATTGAACCCCTAGTCTCAAATTTGTGAGCTTAGTTTTTGAGAAAATAAAAAAATCAAAACAAATAAGTCAAACAATCTCCCCACTGATATTTTCGTAGGCTGTAGAATGCTAAGGCCGAAGGTAAGGTTAAAAAAGAGACCAGTGGAAAACGCATTTGTTTAGAAGGTTGTTCTGTGGGTTCTAATTGTTGTTACGACCATTTGAAAAAGGGGAGGAATTTTGTATTCGGGTATATTTTACTTTTTTTTTGTGTTCCGACCATTATAATGGGGAGGAAGTTTGTATTCGCGTGTTTTAATTTTTTTGTTTTCCACCTAAAATCAGGTACCACAAATAACCATCCGACAGGGTCGAGTGATATATCATATTAAAACCCTTCTAGTCATGATTCCAACATGAAAAAATTTCAAAAAACACTTCTTGGTGTAATGAAAAACCGGTTTTGCAATGTTTGATTTTTCGTATACTTTCCTGTAACGATCCTGTAACGTTTATTACATGTCAAAATTAGAAATTTAGTCTAACAAACTTGTTTTGGAAGCTTCATTTAGGTGTTCTCTGGCAAAAAAACACCCTTAAAATGCAAATAAGATTTTCGCAATTTTTTCAGATTATTTTTTAAGACCATTGGATTCGTTTATGCCTAATTCACTAAATTTATACTTATGTTTGTATGATTATTATTTGAAAAATCAGCGTTTCGGTGTTTCTTCCATAAGAATAGATCCCAAATCCAATAGGCATAGCCAAAAGACAATTAAAAAATTAAACACAGGCGAAGTTACACCGATAACGGTACTGCGAAAAAAAACGCTACTGATGACCGATTAAGCTACTGGGAAAAACTGAAGAGTAAAACTTTGAGTCTACAAAATTCTTAAGTGACAAATGCCAATTATGACGCATTAGCAGTACGAGTCAAAAAAGAAATTTACCCACTGACATGCATCAATTTATAGAGCGGACATATTTTAGCTAGAACACGAAAAAGTTCATTAAAAACATCCGACCCTGCGCAGGTTCGAACCCTCTTTTTATGTTGCGGATCCCCTTCCCTACCTCTACGCTACAGATCCATGATACCTTAAAGCCAAAGTGCTATTTGTAATTATCTGTGTTAATATCCTTAGCATTGGCTGTACTTAACAGCAGGTTATTGATCAAAATGAACACATTTTGTCGCGACAATATTTGCGTCGCAGCAATAAATGCGACTTCGGTCGAAAAAAAAGAGTTCATACTATAACACAAGCTTTGCTTGCGTAATGAACGCAAGGAAAGGGAAAACAATTTGACTTGTTTTAGAAGAAAAAAAAACGTTCGACTTTCAAATATATATTCGAGACGTTCATCGACTCTTGAAAGATGGTTTAGTTTTATACTACAAGGAGATTGCAATGTATAGCTGGGGTGTGAAAGATGCTTACCAAGTACTTGTCGCAGAGTTCGTAGAGGAAGAACTGGTATGCTCCAGTGGTGGCTGTGGGGAACATGTAGGTGGACAGACCCAGATTGCACTGCTCAACTGCAAAGCACAGTCTGCTCACGATCCACTCAGTCAGTCCATCACCACCACACAACGCCAACTACAAACAGACACAAACAAAACTACTCATTTAGTCATGCTCACTAGAGAAAGGTCAACTGTAACCCTTTTCACTCAAGACTTGCTAAACAGCTTGGTTAATATTCGTAGAAACTCTATTCACTCCTTTTCACCCCTAAGATATGCAAAACATTTTGGTCAATCTAATAACTTTTTCCAAGAGACTAAGATCAGATGAAACGCTGTTTAATTTAGACCCCTTATCCCTTTAATTAAGACCTGACTAACCTTTTGGTTAATTTTATTGGATGCAAACCAAATAGGCCAACATATCTTCCATTTGGCAAAAAAAAAAACGAAAAACGTAAAATTCATGTCTTGAACTTCGTTGCATTGATCAAAAAATTGATCGACTTGCCTCGACAAGGGATTCAAAAGTGGGAGGTGGTTTGAACATGAGCCCATCCGTGTCCTTGAGTAGCTCCACGGCCAACTTAGTCGCATTCCATATTTTGTTGCAGAAGAACCTGTAGCCTTGCACTCTCAACACGTCCAGGTTCACATCTCTGCCTTGTGCAGTGTAGGCACACAGGGCGAACCGCAGAGCATCTGTGCCACACTCGGGGATCCCATTCGGGAAGTCTTTTCTCTGTTAGAACAAAACAGAAACATCATGCCAACATAATTGAGTTGTAAATAGTGAGTTAACTTACGGTCGACGTTTTAGCTCATTTTCCTTTTCCTCCCCGCTCAGTTGAATATGATAAAATTTGCCAAATTTTATCATATCCAACTTAGCGGGGAGGAAAAGGAAGAAGAGCCAAAACCTCGATCGCAAGTGGACTCACCAAGCGATATTCAACTAAGGTATGCCAGACATTTTTTTAATTTATACTTAGCCTTCTATAGTCGTAACCCCAAAGGTACGAGTTGACAAAACATAGTCTGGAGTCGCAAAAAAACAGCTTCGCTGAATAAAATAACACAGTATCAGAATAACACAGCTTGGTCTGAAATTTGGGGAGATAATTTAAATGGACTATCCTTGACAGGACTGTTAAGTCCTACTGATAGCTCCTCTGCGATTCGCAGGAACCAGATTATTATAGGCGAAATCACGTTTTAGAATGAACAGTTGGAAAAGTTACAAAGTTAACAAAATAAAAATTGCCAGAAAACGAAAACTTTTGACCAATCTAATGAGTTAAATTCCCAGTAGCATTTCAGCAGCAATTTTCGGAAATCCATGAACCAACCAAAACTCTGAGCACGATAAATAAACCTTCACTTTTTTGAATGAATTCTTCAATTTAATATTGTGGCTCTTTTAAAAAAAGGTGAAGTGGAAAAGGCGACAGACCTGTCCCTCTTCGGCTCTTTTCAGCTCACTGGAGTCCAGGTTGCTGTTCAGTTTCAACTGTTGCTGCAGCTGAGCCAGACTTATGCCACTGATGACATCCAGAGGATCCACCACATTGCCAAATGACTTGCTGATCTTCCTTCCATGCGCGTCCCTCACAAGAGCGTGGAAGAACACCTGAATAACAACAGGTTTCCAGCTACTACTCAAAGCCAATTAACTAGAACATCCTAATCAACTGAACTGAAATATTTGTTATTTATTACGTTTTATAATCAAAATTCCAATACTTTGCTGTCTCAATGGTAATGAATACACGTTAAAAAGTTTCCAGGATCAAAATCATTGAGGGTCATCCAAAAATTATTCGAGATTTGATTGCAAGCCAACTGTGTAAAAAGTAGCATCATGGCAATCAGTTTTAGAGCTCTTTTTGTATTTGATGATTAAATGTACCTCGTCGCAACCAGGTTATAGTGTACCTCTGTCACTTTTCTACAGCACAGAGCAGTGTTTACACATATTTTCATGGTTTGATTAAGTTGTCTATTTGAAACAAAACTAGGACTCTTGACCGCAAAAAATCTTCGCTTCAGAAAAAAACAGACGCTGGAGTGTGGCGCAAAAGTAGACAGTGTACCTCTTTGAAGGGTACATCTCCCATGAGTTTCTGTCCCATGAACACCATCCTGGCCACCCAGAAGAACATGATGTCATTGCCAGTCTCCAGCAGAGCGCCAGGGTAGAACCTCCTCAACTCCTCACTCTCATCCGGCCAGCCCAACACTGAGAAGGGAAAGAGACCGGAGGAAAACCACGTGTCCAGCACGTCCTCATCTGGAAGAAAAAAAACTAATTAATGCTTCCTTAGAGTCGTATAACCATATGGTAATCCAGTCATAACATTAAGTTGTATGTTTGTTGTGTTTGTGATAAATATAGATGCAGTCAGGGGCGGATTTAGGAGGGGGGGGGGGGGCGGACGCCTCTCCACCCTCAGGGATTCGACCCCCTGCCGACCCAAAGGGTCCCCCCTTTGTACTATTTTGAGATATCCATATTTGGTGACGGAACATAAAATTTTTCTAAAGGCGCCAATATATACATACTTTAAGGGGGGAGCGCGCGCCAAAAAAAAACGCATTTTTTTGGTCAAAATTTTCTAAAAAGTGCCTAAAAACAATCTTTTGGCCTGTTTTTCAAAATTTTGCCTGCGAAAATTTCGAAATTTTTGAAAATCCGCCCCCCTCGAGAAAATCCTAGATCCGCCCCTGGATGCAGTGGTTAAATGAAATCAGAGAAAATTCTTTCGCTTTTTTTCTTTCTTTATTAATACAAATCCCACGTCTAGGAAATAAAAAACCCAATCAACAGACGGTTCTGAAATTCAAATTAACAGTTTTGAGCTTCAACTTTCGAATTTCAAGGTAATAATGTATGATATCACATTAGCGCTCTTTCAGTTTCAAGAATCTTTCATCTTCGTTCATTAGCACTTAAACACAAACACGAGGGAACATAATGATAATACTAGATTAAAAAATGTTGTATAGCGAAAAGAGAAATAGTTTCATGGCCATTCATTTGGCGCCTTTTGTAAGACTCGCGTGACGGGAGCGAATTGGTAAGACAAAAAAGATTTTTAGACATTTTTAGGCTCCCAGACGAATAAAATTAAGCTGCAAACTAGCTATTTGGTACTATACTTTGTTACCTTGTCTCAGTTCGATCTCGGATGCTTCGACTCCAAATTTCTTACAAGCCTTCTCGACTGCTCGCTCTTTCGACCGAGCACTGATCCATCTCTCTGGGTCATCTTTGGCCTAAGTTATGAATTATAGAAAATAAAACAATCATGGACAGAACACTAAACATTTTGAAAGTGAAAGGATTGCGTAATTACTATTTAGTAACAAAATAAATTCGCAAATTTTGATGTAATACAATTTTTTTTAAAGAAATTTAAAAAAAAAACGATTCTAGAATCAACTTTAATTCGCATAAAATGAAATTGAACAAGAACTTTTTTTCGTTAAAATTGAGTTACTTTTTATTAAATATGGACTTTTAACAGACAAAGTCCGGCTAATTCATCAATTATGTGGACTTACGTGTTTATCCAACGACTGCGGCATCTTGGCCGGATCCACAAAGCTAACATAATAGGCGGGAATTTGATGGCCCCACCAGAGCTGTCTCGAAATACACCAGGGTCTGATTCTCTCCAGCCACGAGTTCCACTGCTTAGTGGAGGCTGCAGGATACAGTTTGATAGCACCATCTTCCACAGCTTTGATCGCATCTTTGGCCATCTGGTCACAATCCACGTACCTAAATAGAGAAAACGAATTTTTCAGAATTTTTTTTCGAGTTTCTGAAATATTTATTGCCAAGATTGATCTAAAAACATAGTCAACTGAAAGTTCGAATAGAGTAATGAACGCAAGGAAACTGAAAACAAAAAACCGACTTGTTTTTTCAAAAATCTTCAACTTTTGAATTTCGAAGAAAAAATAGATGGTCTTGAAGCTTTTTGAATTTGTAGAACAATTTATGATGGATACTTTTTTGCTAAAATTATCCCAATTCGAGAAAACTGCAGCAATAGGTATAACTTTTATTCGCTGGGAAATCTGATAATTAATTTCCATTTTCGAAATTAGAAGTCGATCACGTTTTTCGTGAACTTTGCTATTTTGCAGCTCGATAGTGGATTTTGCCTTCCTTTTAACAATAGAAAAGCACTTAAAAAACCACAAGTCAAACAGCGAAAAATCAAAATTGAGCGTAAGCAAATTTCAAGACTTTCCTGAAAAAAAACAAAAAAAATTACGTTCATTACTCTTAAAAATTCATTATTCTTTAAAATAACTAATTTTCTGGAGTGAAACTAAGTTTTTAGGTGAAACTAAGTTTTAAAAATGTGAATGAATTCCAAAAAACTGAAAAAACAAATGATTATTTTTGTACATTTATGATTCTGCAGCTTCCCATAATATGGAATTGCAATAAAAGACTTGCAAAACAAACATAATGATTGAGACTATAAGGTTTCCACTTCACGGCTATATAAAAAGTAGCTAAAACATGGAACAGACCGAATTAATTTGAAAAAGAGCAATTTCCTTACTTTAAACCAATTTAAAACGAAAATTTTAATTTTTCAGCAACTTTCAGACATACTTTGTGTTTGAAAAAATAGATTTGCCAGCAGTTTTCATCTGAAATAGGTCATTAATTAATTTTGTCTGTTCCAACTTTTGCAACACTCTCTTACAATGAAAACGTACCACTGTGGTTTTAAAAGAGGTTCCACAATATCCTTGGATCGTGAACAAACTGGCACCACCATCGGATTGTCTGAGACTCCCTTGAACAATCCCAGTGCCTCGAGGTCTTTGGCGATCACTTTGCGAGCAACAAAGCGCTTCATACCCTGAAAGAAACGATGAATGTTCCACAAACTTCATCAAACTTCCATTGACAAGAGCTATATAGTTAATTCAACGGAAGATACGCAAATTGTTTTCTTGATTTTCCATTTAACTGGAAATGCAGGGACACCGAAATCTAAAAACACTTCAATTTCTGTCGCAGTTTTTTTTCTTAAAAGATGTGTTTTTATCACCTTTATTTTTTCAGAGGCAGAATCTAGAGTTTTTTTATCTTTATTAAATTCAGACCAAATCATTTCCAGGAATTTTACTCTGTAGTAGAGAGACAGAAAAAGGATGTTAACATCCAATATGTCAAACATCCAAATTAACATAATTACGTAAAAATATGAAAACGTCTGATCTTTGGCCTTTCAATGCTGTTTGTCGGATGTTTTCAACAATTTTTGTTTTCAGATGTCTGCACGGTTCATCGAAAAATGAGGGTCACTAAATCCACTTACATTATACTTGCACTGTATCTGTCGTTCGTTCTCATCCACAAGACTGATGTTGCCCTCCTCGTCCATCATCTGGAAGAAGGGCAGTTTGTGCTTCCTCCCAACTGTGAAGTCGTTGTGGTCGTGCGCCGGCGTGATCTTCACCGCACCTGTCCCGAACGACATGTCCACGAAGTCGTCCACTATGATCGGCATTTTGTCCCCTCGGATCGGGTGGCGCACAAACTTCCCGTGCATTGACTGAAATAATCAATCATTACATACTCTATAATTAGTTGCTCTATAATTAATTTATTATGAGACTGGTGAAGAACTCGGTTGCTTTTTTACAGAATTTTTTCAACGCAAAATCAGGTACCATAAAATATCCTCAGAATGAGTCGAGCAAAATATTATATCCAAGTACCTTCAGTGGTGATTCGAACGACAAAAATCACCAAGTTTTTTTCAGTGTCGAGAAAACTCGGTTTTCTGCTTTTTAGTCAAATTTCGAGCAAAACTGTCTTACTGCACCAACTTGCCATTTAATATAAGGAAGTGATCAATCCCTTGTTGTCTCAACTTTAGAAGAAAGTAACGGAATTTTTGTGCTCGATTTGATATTTTCTTCTGACAATTTCGACACTTCAAATACCCATTTGTTTTTATATACTCATTTGTGACGGAACATTTAATATAAACTGAAAGCTGTTGTTGTCCTGAATGTAGAAAAAAATGGTCTGAGTAGCTTCTTGTTATGTAATAATAGGACAAAATAGTTTTTCTCACTTCATTTTGCAACAAATTTTGGGCCGGATTAAATCGCCACTTACACATTAATCGAACGTAAATATGTTGGGCATTTTCTATCCAAAATTGGCAAAGTTAGCATAATTCAAAATGAAAAAATAAATCATATACCTAAGGGGCAGTCGGATGAATCAGGGTTTTTTTTCTGATACGAACAGTCTTGCTTGACATCGGAATTAAAATTGTGCTTTCTCCCATTATATTATCGGATCTCACCCCCAGTCCCGTATTTATTTGGAAGGACCATACAAAATATTTCGGTCGATCTATATTGTGATACCTGGTTCCCTAAAACGTAGTCCTCAAAAAATGGGCCTCAAAATTTTCGGAATTGGCGTGGCGTGCATTTGCTTCCATACGTTTATAAAGTTTACGCGAAACTCTGACTCTGGCCGATCGCTCATAGCTGCTTTTTCCAGGGACCCGACGGTCAAATGTTCTTTTTCATAAAACTTAAGTATGCTATTATCAGGAAGCGGAGCAAAAAGCAAAATGGCCTACAAGCAGAACGAACCCAAGAGCAGAAAGACAGAAAAAAATTAGCTTTCATAATTGGGAAAACAAGTATTAGAACTGTCAATTTTACCAGAAACGAATAGATTTTGCATAAATTAAGTATTTTGATCAAAATTTAAAAAAAAAAAAATTACTCAATTAATTTATCACTTATTAATATTCTCGGTAATATCGACGATTCCAATAATTGTTTTCATCGATTAGCCCGTATAATTAAATAATTGTCTGTTTTTCTGTTCTTAGACTTGCTCTGCTTTTAGACCATTCTGCTTATTGCTCCACGTCTGTATACTAGCATGCTGCGTCTCTATAATAGCCTGCTTAAGATTCATGGAAATAAATATTTGCAGAGTAGGAGTGAAATTTGAAAAAAAAACCTGCGGGTCTTTTACTTATTCCGCCCAAAAATCAATATTTCAACATCTTGAACTGAAACTGTTTTACTTCATCCTGATTAGCTAGATTTAGCCAATCAATTTCACCATTATCTCAAAATGTTTCGTTCACAACTTTAGGTCGACTTAGAAATCAGCCAAAAATAGATTATTTGGTACACTATTTAATTTTTTTTCAAATAAACTACAGTTTATCTAGACCAGAAAACAGCTCCAGGAAAAAAAACGACCACCTTCACATCTGCTCAAAATTGGCCTTGCTAGAAATATAGTGAACGCATTGTATTAACCAATCCAATCAGTGTTTTGTTCCCTGCATTTATGTATTGAATTTTCAACTACTTAGTCTATTTTTTCATGGTACATTTTTTCAAGAAATTCTAGAAATCAGGGGCGGATCTAGAATTTTCTTGAGAGGGGGGGGGGGGAGGGGACGGATTTTCAAAAAATGTTTTTTTTCGACCTTTTTTTAGGTCGACAAATTTATTTTCTGAGCTCTCCTAAATCACTATAGAGCCCCCGCTCTGAACAAATTTTCTGCGCCGCAGGCAAAAAATTGAAAAAACAGGCCAAAAAAGGCATGTTTAGGCACTATTTGTAAAATTTGGATCAAAAAATTGCATTTTATCGGCGCGCGCTCCCCTTCAAAAATTACTATATATTAGCGCCAAAGGCGCCTTCAGAAAATTTTAGGGTTTTTTGACGTAAATGGATGTCATAAAAAATGCCAAAGGGTGGCTCCTTTGGTTGGTGAGGTGGTCGAATCCCAGAGGGAGATTTGGGGGGGGGGGGGGGAGCGGGACAAGCAACAAACAGAATGTACGACCAGCCAGTTATCATTATGATTAGGCAGCAGCCATGCTTCGGTTCAAATCTGGGCTCTTTCCTGAAAACGCAAGTTGTCTCCCTGAAAGCGCAAATACGACGATGGTTTCCGCGCGCTTTTCGATAAAACTTCAAAAACACTCAAGTAAACAAATGCTCACACTGTTTCCGAATACTTTACGCACAAAAAATCTTACATTTACAAAAATCGAGCATTTTACATGCAGCGCATATCAAATTTAATTTAAATTCAACGCTGGGGTGGAGGCAGGGATGTAAAGAAATAACTTATTTTTTATATTATTTTCAATAAATATATTTATTTCACAGCTCTCAAAATACAATATATTTACTTTGGTCGGAAAATTATTTTATTTGGTGCCACTGCTAACTAGCGTTACTAAATTGGGTTGTTATGAAAGGTAGCAGCTTCTCATTTGTGGAAGACCCTCTCAATAGAGAGTATTCAAGACTCAATCCTATATGCCGCCCTACCTTTATGAAATACTTACAGCTTGCGACGAAAGAAGTTGAAAAAGTTATAACGGAAATACTTCCGAAAACTTTGGACTAAACAGCAGCAGAAAACTTGGAAACAAAAAGCCTGTTTGCCGAACTCACTAAAGTAGAATGGATAACGAAGAAACTACAAGAAACGTCTATCAACCTGTTTGACGTGCATACTTTGTTCGAAGATGTCATGGATCAGCACTCAGGTCTGGAACATTATGTCGGTAACACAGAATCCGTCATTCGGAATTGGTATTGTGAAAGCAATCCAAGGTATCACGCTGAGCGAAAACGAGAATGAAGCTTTGATGGTTTTCAAGACAGTTGGTCAGAGCGGTCAAAGAACAATTGAAAGTTCTGCCGAGTACGCAGAATCAATTCTAGCAGCAAAGCGTCAAAAATAGTGTTTTCAGCTATAGTAGATACGAGGGACTTCCTATGTTTGCGAACGGCTATTCACCAGGGCTAAGCTGGTTTTCAACGACTACAGAAAGAAGCTTGACCCTGTTAACCTCGAAAGCCAGATTTTTTTGTTCGCAAATAAAGAACTATGGGATGTTCAATTGATAAACAAACTTATGTCACTAAGTTTTTCATGAACTAAAATTATTCTTGAAACAATTTTTTTTTTGCTCGAAAGAAAATACTTTAAAATAATTGCAATTATTTTAATTATTTTCGAAGTTCGAAAAAAAAAATTATTTATTTTCGACCGACAATAGTATTGTTATTTATTTTTTACACCCCTGGGTGGAGGATCTTAACCTGGTCTATTTGGGGGGAGGGGGGATGTTAAACTTGATCCAAAAAATCTTCAGGGACCCATCTAGGTCCAAACCAAATTACATCATATTATTTCTGGTGAAATTCCAGGACTTTTCCGGTACAACTATGATTAATTGGGTCCCTGAAAAAAGCAAGTATGAAAGACGGGTCCCGCAATTTTTGAGAAACCACAAGCAAATAAATTCTAACCCTGTTTACTAACATTTCAGAAGCACAAAAATTAACGGCTCTTATTTGGTCTTCATACTCAGCCTTGTAAAACCACTCGTTACACCATGAAATCAATGCTTATGTGAGGTGGGGGGAAGGCAAAAGAGCCAAAACTTCTACTGCTTTTTTGCCAACAAATTTTACTTCGCATTGTTCGATTGGGGTTACAAAAATTGACACGCAGGCTCTTTTACAGTTCCCCCTTCAAAATACCGAGTTTCATGTTTGTTTTACGTGTTATTACGGCAAATTGCGTGATGTTACGCTGTAAAGTATGAATAACAAATCTGTTCACAGTTGTCGATTTGTTCACCACACCAAATTTCATTGCTTTATGACAAGGTTAAATAAGCTTTTCAAAATTGAATTTGAAGAGGGGGATTGGAAAAGAGCCAAAAATCTTGCGCCCGCCAGTGGTCGTGAACCTTCAAATTAATAGTTGCGAACACTTTACGAAGTGAGATGGAAAAATTCGTGTATTTTGTAGGCAATATTGGGTGCTCTAAAAAACTGTCCAGATGGTAACGAATAATAAATCATAATGAAGCTTTTGAAGATACAGGGTTTTTTCTCCAAAAAAAGCAAATTGTTTAAAAATTGTTTTTAAATAAAAAGTGGGTATTTTATATAGTAAAAACGACCTTTTTTGTCTATCAAACAAAAATAAATTAACTTATACAATATTTGGGAGATTATACCCTTCTTGAAGTTTGTTGGGCTACGTAAGGGGCTCACTTTGATATAATTCGACTGATTTCGACAGGGTATTTTCGGTGTAATTTTTGATTAACTAAGAAAAGCCAAAATGACCCATTTTTGGGGTAAAATTTCGGGCCCGATTTTCGCAAAACAAATTACACCATAATAATTCTGCTAAAATTTTAAGCAAGTTTTGTCTTCATAAGTTTTCACCTAAACTAAACCCAATTTGAGAAAAACGGGTTTTAAATTTCAAGTTTAACGCGTTTTGTCCGGTTAATTTAAATCAGCACTGTATAAAATGCGAAATGCATGCGGGACCTGTCTATTATGGGTGCCGGACATTAAGCCGACGGTACTTCAAGCCGAATTGTAAAATTAGGGACTTCAAGTCGAATAATTCCTTATAATGTCGTGAAATATGAGCAATTTGAAAACTTTTTTGAAGAATTTCTGAATTTCATGATCTTTCTTCACTATTTATTGGCGCTTGCATATAATTTAAGCCTCCAAATGATGTTCCGAAAAGTAAAACATGGTTGAAGTCATTTTTCATGTTTATAATTTATGCATTTCAAAAACCGGCTGATGTTATTAACGGATGCGAATCACAAGTGGCATTGTCATGAATAACGCTTATTATGGACTAAACTTGCCAAAATTTTAGAAAAGCAACATTTTGCAGATGATTAAATAGCGTTTTGGGGTGCTTGTAAAGTTTTAATTTCGGCTTGAAGTCCCGTCGGAGGGACCACTCTATCATAGTAGTACCTAGCAGGCATGTAGACTTATTAGGTTATGGCAGGCATATTAGTCTTAATAATTACCCTGTAAAAGCCTCGTCACACCATAAAATTGATGCTTTGGGGGGGGGGGGGGGTACGGGTCTAGGACAACAAGCCGACGGGACTTCAAGCCGAAGGGACTTCAAGCCGAAATGAAAACTTTACAAGCACCCAAAACGCTATTTTATCATCTGCAAAATGTTGCTTTTCTGAAATTTTGACAAGTTTAGTCCATAATAAGCGTTATTCATGACAATGCCACTTGTGATTCGCATCCGTTAATAACATCAGCCGGTTTTTGAAATGCATAAATTATAAACATGAAAAATGCCTTCAACCATGTTTTACTTTTCAACTTTCCGGAACATCATTTGGAAGCTTAAATTATTTGCAAACGCCAATAACTAGTGAAGAAAGATCATGAAATTCAGAAATTCTTCAAAAAAGTTATCAAATTGTTCATATTTCACGACTTTATAAGGAATTATTCGGCTTGAAGTCCCTAATTTTACAATTCGGCTTGAAGTCCCGTCGGCTTGATGTCCGGCACCCGTGGGGGACATCCAATTGCCAATTCGAACCATTTCATGTTGATCGCATATTTAAGAAAAACGGGTTTAGTTTACATATGTTCTTCATTCGTTTTGAGCGGATAATTCGGAGTGCTGTGATAAAGACTCTGCTAGAAGTCAGTGCACACATATTGCATGGTTTATATTATAACGATAATCTGTCCAAATCGTGGGACAGTGGTCTAGTGGTATGATTCACGCTTCGGGTGCGTGAGGTCCGGGGTTCGATTCCCCGCTGTCCCCAGCAGATTTTTCTCAAAATATAATTTGACTTTTTTTATACATATATTTACTCTTTGTGACGTACTGGCAAATTGAATGACACATTACAGAGGTGCGATTGTGTGGTCCCACAGCCCACATACATCTGACTAATAACAATAACGAATTACTGTAATCGTAATCATTATTTATTATAAAACCATAATTTTCTGAGCTTCAAAGAGCTAATCTAACCGACCCGAAACCGTTTATTTGATCTTATAGCTCTTTTCTACTCCCCCTCCCAGTTTCTTGGGACCCCTCAATTGTAACTGTATTGTCATATCTTTAATTGGATGTATTTAAATGGCGCTCATTTTTAAAATTTTTAATGGAAAAAGTCGAAAAAAGGAGAACTTTCAGTGCTTTTTATTACGTTTTCGTTCGATTCGATCTTCTGTTCTGTGTCGTTTCTTACCTTGTATCGCTCGTCATCGGGGTGTACTGCGACAGCCGAATCAGCGAGCATAGTCTCGATACGAGTGGTCGACACAATGATTGACTCGCCGCCTGAAATTCACCAACAAATCAAAGTTCGGGGCTCATGTGAACAATCTCTGGATCGGATCTTGTTAACTATCCCCCCCCATTGGGGGGGGGGGGGTAGTTAAAAGGTACAAAATTCGTATACGCTTAACTGTTCGATTCTTTCCAGGGTGGATTCGTTACAAAAAACCATAGGGGGGATAGTTAACAAGATCCCAATCTCCCCCTAAAAGACCAAGTGAGCAGTCTCCCCCGAAATTAAATGGCAAATTCAAACCGTAAGGCCTGCATGTATTTGTACCTTTTAACTACCCGAATTTTGTACCTTTTTGTAAGCATGGGGGGGGGGTAGTTAAAAGGTACAAAATTCGTATACGCTTAACTGTTCGATTCTTTCCAAGGTGGATTCGTTACAAAAAACCATAGGGGGGATAGTTAACAAGATCCCAATCTCCCCCTAAAAGACCAAGTGAGCAGTCTCCCCCGAAATTAAATGGCAAATTCAAACCGTAAGGCCTGCATGTACTATGCTCAAACCTGATTAGCTGAAACCTAATTCTTTTAACCAAGTGAAATCTCTCTCCCCTATATCAGTTTAGGGGGGAGATTGTTGCCTTGGTCCAAGTACGGTACAAGCATGATAGTTGGGTCCTAAAATATAGATGAGTCCCCGAAGAAATCTTGTTACGCTTAAATTCTTCGGAAATAGCCTTTGCAGGGATCTTGCAGTAAAAGCATGATAGTTGGTTTAAAAGTCTTTCATACTTGCTTTTTTCAGGGCCCCAACTATCATACTAGCGCCAATAATTTTAAGTCTTTCCCCTCTATGGTACCTTGTAACGAATTTGCCCCCTTATTAGGAAAAAATTGAACAGTTACGCATCTACAAATTTTGTACCTTGTACCGAAGTTCCTCCCCTTTTGCAAAAGGGTGAAAGCAGTAAACAATAGTAGTTGCTTTCTTGCGTTGTGGAGATTTTCATAGAGGGCTGGATCTATCTTTCATACTTGCTTTTACTAAGAACCCAACTATCATCTCGTACCCGTTCACATTTTTTTTTCAAATGGATATTCGGCCCGCAGAAAAGAGACGAGCAAGCTAAGTACAAAAAAACACTGAAAGCCGGTTACTGTGCAAGTAACACGCAACGTTCCGATCAAATTTTTTAGGAAAAAATTGTTTCACAGAAGTGTCGTTTTTTGTCCGTGCTGTGACAAATGATCTGACGATAATCGCCTGGAACTTAGGCATCTTCGACGGTCACAGTTTGTCAACAATTGACAAGAAAAACAAAAAAATCGAACAAAATTCCTAAGACGGCACTAAAAAATTTAGAACTGGGTAAAAGTAAAAATTCACGGCTTATCCTTCTACAGAAAGCCTGCTCGCTCAAAACTGAGCTGAAGCGCAAAAATGTTCAGCCAGTTTTTTTAGACACTGCGACATTATTTTAAAGTTTTTTTAATGTCGTTCGAATCAGTGCTGAAAAGGCTTCAATATGATACACCACTCCTACCATTCCGATGACTATTTGTTGTAAATGCTATTGCGTGGAAAACAAACTAAGCCTGCTCGCTCACTTTATTCGCTCGAAAGTAGACCAAAACTCAATCCCATTCCGATGATTATTTGTTCTACATGACTTTGCGTGGAAAAAAAATCTAATACACACCTGAATACAAAGTTCCTGCTCATTTTCATCAGTCGGAACAACAGCGTCTTTCTTTTCGCATAAACCAAACATAGGTGTTCCATTTTCAGAATCAAAAACTCAGTTACACAAAAGTAACTTTTCTTCAAAAAAAATGAGGTCTTTAGGTCAGTACTAGGTTGACGAAATTGATAAAACAGAATTTAGCTGTAAAAACTAAGATAAAAACGCAAAAGAGTCTTATGGACACGGAGCTCACTGCTTATCTTGAATCTGCAAATAGAACAATCGGACAAAGAGTTTCGATGTATTACCAAGCACAGCATGGCAAGCTAGCCGACAGAATCAGACGAAATCAACTCAACCGAAATTAACCACAAATTTCAAACTTGCAATTGGAACAAAAATTACCGAGAACACAAAAAACCAGCTCTGTGAAGTGCAATTAAAAAAAAATAGAAATAAGCCTCGATATGGAAAAAATAAGCCTCTGCGACCTACGGCGACCTTGAGTATATGAGTCTTACGCACTAACCACTCACGCTTAATTAATCACAAACACTAGCCTCAAATAAAGCAGAGAACAGATGCTATGAAATTTCCAAATCAGATCGTCATTATAGCAAAAAATGCCACCAAACAATTTACGAGTTGGAAAAAAAACGAAGGTTCATACTAAGACACAAACGCTCGCAAATGTAATGAAGCCGTAACTGAGCTAATAAATCCTCAGTAAACGCCGTTGGACCGAGAAAAAAGAGGATGTCAGACTAAATAGCGCTTTGATTTCATTTCGAGATACTCGCTTATTGTTCCGATTATTGAAAGCGTGGAGGAACTTTGTATTCGGATCTGTTTTAGATTTTTTGTTTTTCACGCAAAATCAGGTACCACAAAAAATTATCTGACTGGATTGAAAGATATATCATATGAAAGCCCTTACAGTCATGATTCGAACCAAATAAAAAAAATTTCTCAGTGTCGAGAACAAGCCGGTTTGAAATTTTTGATTTTTCGTCACATTTCGAGCGAATAGAGCGAGCGAGCAGGCTTATTTTATTTGCATAAAAGTTTGCAATAGCTAAATTTAAACAGTAAACTTAGTTATACTTGATTGATGGTAGTTTACTTTCAGTATTAGAGTGCCTTTTTGAAACTAAAATTTTCAAAAATTCAAAAAACGGCACAAAAATTTTCTAGTAATTTTTCTACTTGCTTATTTAATTATGTCTGTCGAATATACCTAATCCCTATTTTTTGATCAGCTCATTTTAGCACACCACGCCGAGAAAAAAAACGACAATAATTTGAAAAAAAATTTTCAGGCTTTGGTCGGAACATTATGTGCTACTTGCACAATAACCAACCATCCTTGTTATAAATTATGTGATTGACTTATAACTCATTTAATTATAAGTTAGATGTACGAATTATGAGACAAGTAACTACAGCTTAGCCAGAACAACTAACAACTGACAAGAACGAACTACCGCTGATAAAAACCCGTTTTTAAAATACTTGCTATCACTAGTTTAAAAGCCACGGGAAAGTCTACCAATTTCTTTCAAACAACGAGGATCAGTTCTGAACGCATGGTTACGATATTCTCAGCAGTTTTTTGGAGTTGAGAAAATCTAGCCAGGTCCAAAACAAAATTTTCTTGTTTTGGAAATTTTTTTTTTGTTAAAAACACTTAAATGTTTCAAATGTCCTTTTGCTAAACAAAATACAAAATGTAATCAATGGTCGCAAGGTTATTCGATAAAGGCAAACGAAGATCATTATTTGTTACTTGAATAATAAAAAAAACAACCCATCCCAGAAAAATAGCCAAAATGCTGCCGTTGAATGCGCATCGCTCAATTAGAGGCACAACAGAGGTTGTCCATGCACAGCTCAACAACCAAAATGATTGATTTTGCACCCATGGATAAAATTTAATGAACGCAGCCAACAGGCAGTTGCAAAAGAGTCCATGTACGCAAGAAAACAGAAAAAAAGCTGACTTGTTTGTTTGAAAAGAACTTCATCTTTCGAATTTCAAAAATAAACTATGATTGACATTTTTTTGAAAAAATTATCCTAAGGTGAGAAAACTGAATCAATAGATGAATATTTTACTCGGCTTGGAAATCCGAAAATTTGAAACAATTGAGAAATTAGAAGTCGATCACATTTTTCGTGACCTTTCAGGGTGGCCACAGTGAGGGAGAAATCGCACTCACTGACGGTACTGATACTCGCACTGATGAAAATAAACGCCAGGCAATCACATTTTTTCAAAACTAGAACAGTTTTTTTTGACTTTGTGACTCAACTTTTTTCATTGCCCCAATTTTTTTACTCAACTTTTTTGGCCCAACCAATTTCTTCTTCTCATACAACCTGAAGTAACCTGAAAATATTATACTATGTGAGCCTGCTCCGATTTTTGATTTTGAACGATTCAGTAAAGAAGCGCGATGAAAAAATAGAACTGGCACTGATATTCATTTGCTGGCACTGATATGGCACTGACAGATCACGCTTCGCACTGATTTGGCACTGACCGCCATGATACCGTGGCTACCATGCCTTTGCACTTTTGCTGTTAGATAGTGGAGTTTGCCTTTCTTTTGACAAAGGAAAGGTACTGAATTTAAAAAACATAGCCATTTTTTCGCGCGATTTCCTCTTTTGTAATTGGAGAGTAAATTTAGCTTTACATCAAATGAACTTGAATTAAACTCAAAAAACGCACATATACCTACGGGCTTTCATAAAAGCATTAATATGTATGAATGCATTTTCTATTATTAATAGAGCATTTTAAGACTTTGCCTAGTTCTAACTCTTAGACAAACCTTAAGAGCCAAAAAACAAGTTCGCTTAGAGCTACCTAAGTAATTTCAGAAGGTTAAAGCCGAGCTAGGTCAAACCACTGTCCTGCCGGTTAATTATACAATGAGAGCGTTTTTTAATATGTTGAGATGAATGGTTTGCACTCACTGTCCGTAGCTGAGTCTGATTCGGAATCAGAGACTACTGGGTATGCAAAGGAGGCGAGTACTCCGAACTCCACTTTGTCCTTGTATCCAGGCACCGGTAGTAGTGTCCGCCCAGCTAACTCTTTCTTATCAACCTAAAACAAAACGCTCTCTTTTTTTTAATGTCTACTTGATGACCGTAGAAAACTCATTAGATAACACAGACCATTATCGCAATTAGTTTTCTTAAAACTTATCTCCAATATCACAAACTTGCAAGTAATAAACACTGATCATCGTGAACCTCACGATTGCGAATTTATATATGACTGTACATCTTCTAATTACTAGCCACCACACAAAGTATGCATGCGATTATTTAAGTACCTGATACACAACTTTTAATCAATTACTGGAATAATCGGCTCTGTTGGCGTTTCCCCCACTGGTGTTTTATTATTCGTAAAATGTCATGAAAATTGGCGAGTTATTTAATTACCAAATTACAAATAAATTTTGTCTTCATCTAAAACTTCGTCAAACCCATGATGATAACACCATAACAATGGTGCTGAAAAAATGCCGAGGAACTGCAGAGGAGGCAAATACTGGTAGTCTCATACCTCAATTTCACTGATCGCACTCTTGAGCGTGCAGGACCAATTGACCAGTCTGTTGTCTCTGTAAATCAACTTGTCCTCGTGCAGTCTCACAAACGCCTCAACCACAGCCTTACAAAGCTTCTCGTCCATCGTAAACGCCGTTCGGTTCCAGTCAACGGAGGCGCCCATGGCCCTTATTTGGTCATAGATGATGTGTCCCTTCTCCTCCTTCCACTTCCACACATTTTCCACGAATGCTTCTCGGCCGATGTCGTGTCGGCTGACGTTCTGCTCTCGCTTCAGCTTCTTCTCTACTACTACTTGTGTGGCGATGCCAGCGTGGTCACATCCAGGCACCCACAGAGTTCTTCGGCCACACATCCGGTGCCTAGACACAAAACTGGTCAATTACTAAAGATATCGATCTCCCTCAAATACACCAACATTTCAATTCTCGTTTTATTTGGCTGGGAGATCGGACAGTACTTTATTCTAGTCTGCTAAAGCGAGATGTGAAAAATTTAGATCCCCATGCATAATTTTTGTGCGGTACCCCAAAGGCGGCTGCAATCTAAGCAGGGTTAACTTTTGGTCACCATAATTTATGGAATTTAAGTTAGTATTTAGTTAGTACTTGCCATCTGACCAGTGTGTCCTCGATTGATATGGTGAGTCCGTGTCCTATGTGGAGTGAGCCAGTGACATTGGGAGGGGGGATCACAATCATGAACGTGTTCTCCCCCGCCCTGTTCTCCTCACTGTACATCGCCTCCTTCCCTCCCTGAACAAACACTACATTAAATAATAAAAAGTCACCGTTTGATTCGGCTATACTTAAAATAACCCCCATGTTGTCTTTACTAAAGAGTATCGACGCGTCTAAATAACATGAGTACTTGTTGTCGCCCACAAAATGCAGTATTTGATCCACACACAAATACACTGTCTTCATTTTAGAAATTTCTCTCAAAATCCTAAATCATACATGTCTCTTTTCTACGATAATTTTTTATATATAAAAAAACTCTTTATTGTTTGAAAATCATATATTAAAAATGAATAGATCATAGATTATGTACATTGCTAAAACAAAAAAAAATTAAATAGTCTAATAACATCTAACATTAAAATGAATACACAAGAACATCGCTATTTGTAAGACAATTTAAATTATTCCACGAGACCTTTCCATAGGCTGCATTTGTTTTATTTTTATATACACCAAAGCACGCGGTATATAACAAAAAAATACGCTGCAGAATAAAATTGGCCCTCGTTAAACTTTGATAATAAAATGGAATAGACTGTGACCTTGTACTCTGGCGTGAACATGCCCTGTTTCTCCCACCAGGGGTACCAAGCTGCCTCCACGTATTTGGGACTGTAGGAGTCCGGGAACTGAGAGAGGTCCTTGAACTCCCCCGCCGGAGTGTCCTTGTCATACACAGTCACTGCTGTCTTCTTGTCCTCCTTTTCTTTCTCCTTTTTCTTCTTCGGCGCCTCCTGGTCGCCTTAATAAACACCATATGATCCTCTTTTATGCAGATACACAATGCATCATCAATAAATTCATTTGGCTGAATATTAAAATAAAATACGGAACGTATTTAAAATAAATAGACAGACGCTTTGTCTGCCCATATGGGCTCTTTTCAGTTCCCCCTTTGATTTTTTTTCAGAAACTCAATTTATGAATGTCTATTTGAAATTACTTTTGTTTTAAACTGCATTCAAACGTTTTAGATAAAACAAATTTTTACATTTCTTACATGCAAAATGCGGTGTGAACAATTTTTGAGCTTAGTTTTGTATTTTTACGAGGGGTTGGGAAACTGGAAAAGAGCCCCCATAGGTAACAAGCATAGTTTCTCATTATTCTAACATATGATAAAACTGAGCATTCACACATCGACTTTCAAACAATCCCCTCTTGGTTGTCTAAAATTTACGAAGACAAGCAGTTACCAGTGTTGACCGCAGAACAAAATTATCGGCTGCTGCTAGAGCAAAATCAGAGAACGAAAGAAGGAAATCAACCATGTGATATGAAGATCTCTTCAAACCTTGTGCCGGTTGGGCGGCGGTGGTTTTCTTCTGCTGCTTCGCTTTGAACTTCTCCAGCTTGGCCTGCTTCTCCGCCTCCTTCTTCAGCTGCTTCTCTGTCTTCTCAACCACCCCTCCCCTTCCTCCTCCTTCCTTGTTCCCATTTGTGGTTCCATCGCCTTGGGCTTCAAAGGCACCATTGGCTGTTACAGGTTTCATTTCACTGGTCTCAGACATTCTTATTTCCAACTAACTCTCACTCTCGTCAACCGGAGAGAACACAAACCTATCTGAAGAGAAAACATTTTCAAAAGTGTTTGTCCTTTTCGTTGAGAAAACAGGCCGAAAAATGAGGGCGCTATGTGGAAGAATTTGACCAAAAAAAAATCTTTTTTTTTCGGCGCGCGCTCTATAAGTAATGGCGCCTTTAGAAAAGTTTCGGGCGAAAATGGACGTAGTAAAATAAAACCGAAAGGGTAGCTTTTGGAAGGTGAGGTCTACATCTGCTCCTGTATTTCTTATTATTAACCTAGCTAAAATCAAGCACCTGAATTAACTATTTTTAAATGTTTCAATTTCTATGCGTTGTTTAATAAGCATTTAAAAATATAAAAATTGATTGAGTGAAACCTTTTAATTTGAAACTGAATAAAACGTATCTTCAGAAGACTCAAGGCACAATTTACAAGGATTCAAATCTGTAGGCTCATTCATATAGAGGCCAGTTTCAAGAGAGTTGGTTCAAGCTAAGCGGAGTCCACCAATCACATGAAGATGTGCAACTAGCTGCTGTGATAAAACTTCAGTCTTCGACTGTCAACAAGAACATCGAGATAATTGAACCAAAAGGAATAGGAAACTCAAGGTTGATAACTCATCCCTGTCCTTCTCCTCTCTCTCTCTCTCTCCCTGACCTGAACTTGACCTCTACTTTGACCTCTCCCTCATCTTCCTCCTCTTCTTCTTCAGTCTCCTCACTCGCTTCTTCTTCCACTTGTCTCTCATTGCTGCTTCTGAAAAACAAATAAGTTGAAAGAAAAACATTCGCTTATTAAACCCAGTTGATCTTTTTGACTGAAATACTGAATAGTTGTAGCAGTTCAATTGGAGCAAAAATACCGCAAATACAAAGCCTGTACTGCAAGGAGTCGAAAATTACAGCGTAGGAGGGTTAGATCTGGTGTGATGAAAGGATTTGAACGAAAGCCTAGAACTTGAACATATACAATAGTAGAAATAAATTAGATAAAATGATAAGCAAAAAAAAAAACAAAAAATCAAATTTTTTTAAATTAAAAAGATTTTTTTTCAGAAGGCGCTAAAAAAAACTTCCGATACTAATTTAATGGAAGAAAACTACATTTTCAGGAGTTAGCTTGAATTATAATACTTAGAATTTAAAATATAAGACTATTAGAAGACCTACTCTCTAGCTTTGATCGCTCGAAATTAGATTAAAACTCAAAAAAACTGTTTTATTGACGCCTGGGGACATTGAGCAGATATATATTCAAAAAGCAACTGTAAGCAACTATATTCAAAAAAGTCAATGGAAGAAAACAACTTTCAAATTTAACCACAGAGGCGAAGCAGAGCTTCGCACCACTTGTGATATAAAATGAATGACTATCACCTGCACCTGCACAAGTGAATTACCTGCACCTTTACAACTACAGGCGATACAAAACATACCTGCAAAACAACACATTCATAGCATGACAATCTAGCCGCCAGAAATGGAGATAAGAGCTGTAGAAAAAACTAAAATGTTTGAATTTTTTTTGAAAATACTATAAAAAAAATTGATCTGACAAAAACTTTCTTAAATTTGTCTTAATTTAGATTTGTCTTAGTTTTATTAGAAAAACTCAAAGCTGAAAAACCTCCATCAAAATGTTTAGAAAAAACCTTTTTGCTCTTCAATTATCCAAAAAGAGGGAATCAAACACTAGAAGCAACAATTCGCAAATAATGCGCGCCTCAAAAAAAGCGATTCAAAGATGTCGCAACTAAGCCGACAAAAGATAAGCAGAGAAATAATTGGCCGACAATCTTATTTGAAACAGAATATTTCCCGTTTGAAAACAAAAACAGATCCAGGTGAGATTCCAACCCAGGAACTTCGTCCGAGACGTATTCGCTACCTCCTATTTTTATGATTCCGGTTGTCATTCTGAAAAGTAAAAATTATTTTTGAAATTGCTACATTTTTGTGCCAATTCTACGTTTGCTATTGGAAATAGTAAATTTCCATCTAATTGGTAAATGAGTTTGAAAAGCAATTATTATAATCAAAAGACAAACTGCCAAGATAAGCGTAAAAAGAAACAAGACAAAACGCAACAATCAAGTTCGAGAAAACACTTCATTCCAAAAAAATGTGAACAAAGCCGATAAAGCCCTCTCTACAAGACAAGGACTATAGTTCCATACGTCAACTCGATCAATTGAGAAATCTCCCCCCCCCCATTCTTGCGTGGGAGGAGGGGGGATAGCTCAATTGGTACTTGAAACATGTTTATAACCACTTGAAAAGTTTGAATGGTATGAAATCATGAACTAGCTTCTCCAACGAATTGTGCCAAAAATTACAATATCAAAGCTCAAAAAATTACAGTCAGAGTGGGAAAAGAATCAAAAAGACTGAGGCACATAAAGCTACTTTTTTCGGACTTAAATGGAATAAAGCTATTGCGCACATTATTAAGGTGCTGCGGAGAAAAAAAATTTGGCGTTCATATAAGAGGCTAGAGCACCAACCCTGGTAACTTGCTTTCCTCGAAGAGGCAATGGTCGCCCAAACAAAAAATTTGGGAAAATTCGATTTTTTCTTTTGAAAATTTTTCTTGATACTCATAAACTGAGTTCAGTCGGTCAATTGATTGCGTCTAGTTGCCTTGGCTGACATCTTTTTGTAGCGTCTTACCTTTTTTGCTTGTGGATGGGGGGTGGAGAGAGATAGCTCAATTGGTCATTACGGGGGTGGGAGGGGGTTGCTCAATTGATCCGGTCAGCTAAATAAGAAATCTTGCATCCTTCGTGAAATCAGAAGTACCGATATGCAGTGACCAGACCAGTCTGAATTATGATATGATAATATCAAGAACACACACTGGAAAAGACTTCTAAGATACGATTTTAAGCAAACTGAACTTATGCAAATAAATTCCGGACTAAAAATTGACAAGTGACAAGCACCAGGAAAAACTGCTACTTCTAACAGAGAGTAGACACGTAATGCTCTATATCAGTGAGTTTTCGGCCACGCCTGAGCAACCGAAGCCCATATAATAATTGAATTGAGTTTCGGCGATGCGCAGAGGATTTATGAAAAGCTATCATGTCCAAGCACAGTCAGTTTCTTTTTTCTAAAATCTAGACTGACTAATATTGTTGAGCAACCCTCTTTTTTAGCGACTCAAGTTCGCTTTTTTGCGTCTAGAACTTTCACGTGGTACTACCACTAATGCAGCCTAAATCGATCAGGCTGATGTAGACCTGCAGCTGGAGGTCAAGTGAGAGCTCATCCTCACACACTATAATTGGCATGTCAGGGGATCGATTACACGATCTGGCGAACGCCTTACCACTATCAATTGCCACAAATCAATTATTGCTTAGACTGATTTCTGACTAAAAACGCGTGCTGTTTTTTGTTATTCTTTTGCGATAACTTGAAAAGTTGACTTTTGCGTTGAAGGTACTGGAGAATCGGGAAAATCAACTTCTGTAAAACAGTTGCGAATCATCCTCGACACTGGATACGAGAAGGGCAACTTGGGTGTTTTTTACCAATTTGATTATTCTGGTACAATTAACATGCGATATATTTTCAGGCGGCGAATTATTCAGGCTCAGAGATAGTTCCAAATTAATTTGAGGCAAGGCATTGAGAGTTTAAAACGTTGCTAGACGCTTACTACACATTTCTAATTTAAGTTGCGTTTCGGGTATTAACTTTTTTAAAAAAATCTATAAAACGGAGCCATTTTTTTGAATTTTCATCAATTTTCAGTTTTTAATTGGAGTTTATAAGAAACTAATCAATAGACGAGCATTTTTGAAACCGTTGGCTCATAGTTGCTATAAAACGACATTCATGTGTCTCAGGAAACAGAATTTAGGCAAGAATTTGTGCTTGATTCTATTTTAAAATTCAATTTTGAGGCGTTTTCAAGGACTTATTAAAAATCATAAGGACCTTGATTATTGTTAAGAGTTGATGAAAAGAGTGCAGACTCTTGTATAGGTCGCGATGCTTTATTTTCCGTTTTTTTTCCACGAAAAGATTTAGAATTTTGCAAAACTCAAATTTACTTTTATGCGGTTCGATTTTTGATTTCCATCCTAATTCAGTTCATTTCTTTTGCTAAAAGAACGACCACCTCCACAATCAAACATCAAAAGTGTAAAGGTCACAAAAACGTGATTGATTTCTATTTCTGAATTGGAATGTATTTTTTAGATTTCCCAGCGAAATAAAAATATTACTCATTGGTCCAGTTTTCTCCAACTGGTTTTTTTTTGTCGAAAAAGTGCCAAATATGAATTATTGTAGACGCTCAAAGAGCTTTAAGGTCTTGTGTTTTTTTTCTGTGGATTTCGAAAGTTGAGATTTTAAAAAAGCAAGACAAACTTTCATCTTTTTACTTGCGTTCCTTGAGTTTTTTCCAACTGTCGGTTGGCTATGTTTCTTAAGCAAATAAATAAAAATAATTGGCGTTTCTGCGACTTGCAGAGGATCCATGAAAGGACTTGCAGCCTGTCTAAGCATAGTCCGTTTCTCTCATTTCCCAACATACCAGACTGAGTTCTTCTGTTGAGCAATCCTCTTTTTTAGTGACTCAAGGTAGTTTCAAGAATTGCTCAAGAATTGTTTCATCTAATGAAATTCCGCTCGGCTGCGATTAGTGTTTGCTTACTAGGGCGTATTTTCTGCAGTTTCTCTTGCTCCAGATTCGATATATGATGCTTTAAAAATCGCCGGCTCAAAATTTTTAGGCTACGACAGCAATCATGCTGTTGAAACGTCAAAATTACTTTATTACAAAACGAATTCTATAAGCTCTGCAAATCATAGAATATCTGGCTAAAGCAAAAATAAAGACTATTCAAGGTTGAATTCTGGAAAACAAAAACTACAAGAAAAGTTTCCTAAGTCTCGTTTTCTTTCACATCCATAATTTCCCAGTATAAATGAGTGCAACTGTCAAGAGAAAAGAACAAGACGACGGAGCAGAACAATGATGTGAAACTCCAAATTCCGAAGAGAACGATTCACTTCAGGGATTACAGTTCATCGCTCCATCTAGGACTGGATAACTGTTCAGAAGAAGCTTCATCTCAACACTGATTCTCTCTCGTCTTTCTCCCTGACCTGAACTTGACCTCTACTTTGACCTCTCCCTCATCTTCCTCCTTTTCTTCTTCAGTCTTCTCACTCGCTTCTTCTTCCACTTGTCTCTCATTGCTGTGTCTGAAAATGAAAATTTCTCAAACTAAAATATTCTTACAAACAGTTCGACAACCGGGAGCGTTTATGAGGTAGCTGCTTTTTAACCAAGAGTTTGTTATGATTTGATGCCTACTATGATTCTTCTGAAAGAAAGTTAGCTGAAATTGTTTTGGTGCAAAAAAATCGAGGATTACTTGTTATTCAAGCCTCTTTAGGGTATATTCTTTAATGATTAATTTATATCGAAATGTTTCCACTTTTGGTATCAGAGAGCAAAACTTGGTCTCAGCTCAATCAGAACGCAATACATAAAACAAGCTTTAAAAGACAAATCGTCATTAATCTGCTGCATTGAATAATTTCCGTGATCTTATCAAAAATCCTCAGAAATGCTTCGCAAAAAATATAAAATTTATAAATCATTTTACTCATAATATCTTACTCATTTGCAATACAACGAAAAGATAGCACGAAAAGCTAGCCGCCAGAAAATGAGACCAAAACCACAAAAACTCAAACCCCCTCGACACAAAACGACGCATTACGATTTGAATTCACAGATCAAACCATTTAAGCCGAATAAACATTATTGATGGCAAAAATGGAAATTACATGAAATCGCAGCTGGTAAATTAACGAATAACAGGAAAACAAACAAATTGACCTTCATTTGTCGCAGAAACTGTTGAAATGAGAAAAAAATTATAAAATGATAAAATATAAGTCCATGCTCTTGACTAAAATTAGCAGAAAAATGATAGTCCGACCATAACATTCATCCGATGAAAAATATTCAACTTGCTAAAAATCAAATCCTGGCCAGCATCGAACCCCTGACATATATCATCCCAAGCACGTGTGCTACCTTTGCCCCAAACGTAAAAGCAAAACTACAAGCTGTAGCTTGATCTGATAGAAAAGTAAACTAATGTAAACAGCCCAAGTAAACTGGAACAAACTTTGAAGGCGAACAAGTCTAGTTCCAGTCGCAATTATCTTGGTAATCGTAAGGTTAAGTAGTAAAAAACAAAATCATGCACGCATAAAAATTACACAAAATGTACAACTCTGGTTGAAAGTGGAAAATGATCTTACAACACTATGCTCGCAAGCACTCCAGTTAAAGGAGCCACTAGTTCCTTACTATTTCTTGAATCTTAGAAAAGAAAAACAACTGCACAGTTACCGGCTTTTTTGCACAGCTATTTACCTGGTCTTTTGACCAGGTGTGCGGAAAAGTTTTAATATCAGTTTTTCAACGGAAAAAAAGTAAGGGTACTGAGAAAGAATTGAGAAAAAAACTGTTCTTAACTTTTGCATAAGAAATGGGTGCCATTGATTTTTGAAAATTGACACAGAAGAAGCGGAGCGCACTTCGCAAACACAAGCTAGAAAAAGGCAAATTTAGCATATAGCTCTGAAAAACGAAATAAGGAAAAAAATAAAAAATGAGCCTCTAAAAAGAAAAATTACTGTGCCGGAATCGAGCACCAGACCTGGAGATTAAGACTATCAAGTCCTCGCATCGCTCGATAATAGGCAAAATTTGGCCAGGAATAAATCAGATAGAACAGTTGCCATTAAATTACTAATGCTGTTATGCAAACGTGCGACTTGATAAACAATTTTATTTGCGTGGATTCGTAAAATAACTCATAACAATGATTTGTTGAGGAGCGTAAATTGACACCCACACACTATCCTCGAATTGAAAAAAAAAATAAAAAATCAATTTTTTTCGACTTTTTTGTCAAGATGACAATGGTCGCGGAATTTTTATTGCATTTGAAGAAAAACTCGTTACCACGTACCACAAGGAACATGCTCGCTACAATCAGAATACGTTTGTAGTTAGAAGAAAACACAGCCGTCGACTCAAAAAATATAGTATCAAAATTAATTCCAAATTACAGTCCAAGTAAGTAATAAAATTATTTTATTCAATATAGTGTGAATGCATTTGACTTCGAAAATTAACAAAGAGGAGACACCTGGGCTACAGGGCATACTAGTTTATTGGGAGTTTCATTTGAACTGAAATTTTGAAAATACATAAAACTACAATCGGTACTTCTCAACATGCAGCCACATTTGGATGAAATAGCTTCTTGTACAACAAGGTTGTCGAGGTTGTGCTTGAAACAGTCTATGAATTGCTGCAAAATAATTTATAGGGAGAACAGAGAAAATACATCGAAGCATATTGTTTGTTATTATCCAAAGAGAAATATCTGCACTGCACGATTCGTTTTGTTTTATGAAACAGATTAGAAAACAATGGAAAATAACTATGAATTTTAGAGCCCTTGATGTCAGTGTGAAATATTTGTATACTTGACTAAATCATTTGTCAGGTTTTTACTTTCTCTTTTCACCATAGTTGCGTTTCCCTGACTTCGCTGATGATTTGCGATGCCTTTTGAAGCGCACCCAACATTTCCTGAGCTTCCTGTCGTCTCTGCGACATCTCTTTGCTTTCGTTCAACAACGAACCAGCTCCGTCCGATTTATACAGCTTGGAGACCAGCTCACTTTGAATGCTGTCTCGAACATGGTTCACAAGGAAGTGCATTATAGCTTTTGGTACGCTGTCTTGGATGTTTTTCCTCACTATTAGGAAGTAGTTTTTGATCAGACGCTGAATTATTTCCACATCACGACGTTCTCTCGGAGTCAATTTCCTCACTGGTGTCTGAAGCGTCATGTCTGGAATCAAACTGGCTCCTTTAAACCCGAAGCTAGATCCCATCGAAGGTCCGTTTGACATGGGTGCTGTAGCGGTTCCAGTAAGACTAGAGCCATCGGGATTTCTGTTAGTTGGTCGTCTAGCATTAGCAGGATCACCACCAGAGTCCATAAGCATCTGCTGTTGTGCCTCGTTTTTAGTGTTGATTAAAGTGTCCACAAGTCCGGCGTCTGAAAAATCAGGATGTTTAGTGTTGATGTAGGAAAGTTCGATGCGCACCAGGTTCGAAACCATCTCGTTAGTAACAGGAAGTCGGCGTCTGAGAAGAAGCGTGACAACATCTACAATCTTTTCATGGAGTCTTGGGAATCGGATCATTTCTGAGGTTCCGCATTGCTGAATGATTCGCTGCATTTCTTCGTGAACTAACTCTACACACCTCAGACAGGGATCTTCGAGTCTAGTAATTTGCTTCTTAACAAGTAACTCAAACGAGACTTCAGGCACAAATAGCGCAGGCCGAGGACCGGTTGCATTTCTAACTGCAGTCAATATGTCCATGGTTGTCAGGCCTCCTAAAGCATCAATGGTGTCCAAGGTTCTTCCGTACGTTTCGTGGAAAATATAACATATTCGCGCACCTCCACACAATTCAGCAGTTTCGATGTTTCTCGCGGTTCCTTCTATCGTGTTGCAATACTCTGTCGCGAATCGGGTAATTACCTGGAGCAGAAATTGACCTTCATCTTCAATAGGCTCTCCGTATGATGCTATAAGCATTTGAAACTGGGAGGTCATGACGTTAATTCTGGTTTTCAGCTCTGGCAAGCACTCTTTGATGTGATTCATGAGGAGTCTATTCAAAGTCTTAGCTAAGAACCGCGTTCCATTTCTATTAGCAATCGCTGGATACTTTTTCTGAATAAATGAAATTTCATCTTTGAGAGCCTCCTGGATCGATTTCTGCTGCTTGATGTCCAGCTGACTTCTATTTACGACACCGATGATTCCAAGCTTCACAGGAATTACTCTATGACATAGGACGTCCAATGCATCTGTTCCAGCATCCATGAGATCAAGTTTTGTCACAACAACTAATGTCCTTCTACCTTCCGGGTCCATATCTTTTGCAATTTTCAGTGCCTCAGATGTAGCAAAGTCTGTGTTGGCTGCGTGTACAGCAAGAATAATAGCGTTTGGATTCTGAATATAAAACGCAATCATTTCACGGATCTGAGATTCAATGTCTTCTGGTTGTTCACCCACTGGAACCTTTGTGATACCTGGCAAATCCACCAAGGTCAAAGTCAGCACATTGTTGGAGAAAATCTTCAAGTACATTGGTTCATTTAGAACGCCCTTGTTTGACCCCGCGAGTCTGTCAGTTTCACGTTCGATTTCCTTTCGCACTTCGTCAAAGTCGGTATAGACTTTGTTTTTCGTATGGCCAAACTTTGCCCATTCTTCGACATCAGAGGATACATTGTCTTCGGCTCCAAACCGAACCCGGTCCTCCTCGCTGAGGTGAACTAGCTGCAAAACAAGAGGTCGCCGAGTAACAATTCCGACTCCTCTCGGCAGGAAGTCTCGGCCGACAAGGTTCTCGAGAACAGAAGACTTGCCACAAGACTGGCTTCCGACAACCACTATCTGTGGAAGCTGTATCGAGTCACTGCCTACAGTCGCGAACACCTCCTGCAGTTTGTTCATAACCGGGATTAGATTCTCCATCTTGAACCGGAATGAACTTTACACTGAGTAGAGAGGATTCGAAATGGACCACAAAGAGGGATGGGCAGCTGCAATATATCTGAAAGTCAGAAAACGATCCAGCTGCTGTCTGTTCAGAATACAAAAGCTCACACGAGGCGATTCTTTGCTACGATTTGCGCTACAACAAGTATAGAATTAAGACAGCCTGACGCTCAAGAACTAGCAAAGACGACTTCGAACGATGCTACAAATAAAGAAAACTAGAAAAACATAAAAAACGAAAACTTTGTATGCTTATTCTATTAAAGTGTTTTAAAGAGGCCCATTTGGAGTTGACTTTGAGTATTAAAAAAATTGAGCCAGATGCTTATCGCTCTCGTGCGTCAAGAGTTTTATCTCAAGCGGTAACAAAGCCCAAAATAATTGAGCAGAAACTCTTCGAGCCAAAAAAAAAACATATCAACCAAGAAACTAAGCTGAGATACAGCAATTACACAGAGGCTAAGCTGAGCTTCGCACCACGTGCGATACACATATGAATGTTATGAAAATCAAACGGAAAAAAATTCAAAAAAACTGTTTTTGTCCATAAAAATTGTAACAAAAGCCCAAAAAAATCCGGAACAAAATTGCCTGCACCATTAGAAAATCTACAAAGAGCTTTGGGAATGCTGTAAAGAAGCCAAGTTTTCAAAAAAGTCCTTTCTGTGGAGCTAAGCCGACAAAAATAAACAGACAGACGATAATCCGAAAAAGCACAAAAACACTAGTTAGCAAAAAAGGCCCGACCGGATTCGAAGCGCAAATCTTTGCCATCTCAAGCGGTTGCTTGACCTCTACGCCAGATGCTTGATTGGATTTGAATTTATAATTACCAAGCGGTAACCCTTCATGCCGAAAAGAAATTCGGAAAAATTCCAAACTTATAAAAAATGTCAAGTTCCTTTTTCCCGTCAGAGCACACACACACACACACACACACACAAACCTATTAAGCCGATAAAACGACGGAAAAATTGAAAAACCAAAACTTTAACAAATCAAGCTGGCTGAATTACAACTAATATGAAAAGCAAATTTCGATTCGGCCGGATTCTTAAAATGCTAAAATAAAGGATTCTTAAATGTGTCAACTAAGCCGACAAAACATAAGCAAACAAAAATAGGCCAAAAATTTTTGAACCTGGACAATAACCGTTTGAAAAAACTGACCCTGGTCAGCAGATTCGAGCCCAAGACCTTTGGCGTCCAAGGCGTAATCCTTACAACCAGGCTAAGTTTGCAACAGACAAATTTTGAATTCATTATGAACCAAGGTACCACCAAGGTAAAAAGATGAAAGCACTATGACGCTCAAAAATTAGCAAACAGAACTTCGAACGATGTTACAATTGACGAGGGAAAAGGAAATACGAAAAAAAATAGAAATAAGTATTTTCTTCTTGTTTTTCAAAGATATCCTAGTGGGGTTGACGTTGGCATGCAATAATTGTTGCCCTAGTCTTACCGATATCAAAAAGTACTACAGGCCCAGTTTAAGAAAAAATGGTAATTAAGCCGACAGAATGCAAGCCAACAGCCAATGTAAAAGTTGACTACAAAATTCGGCATTTAATCTTACCATCATACCGAAAAATCAACAGTAGAAAAAATTAATATCTAAACTCTATAAGTATGCATATAATGGTTTGAGTTCTAGATAGAGCATGTACCAGTACCACTAACTAGTACCCAGTATTTAAATTTGAATTTTCATATAAATGAGCATGTCAGCAGCATAGCAGCATCATAATTAATTCAACAGATTTTTGTTAAACTAGCTGCTAACCCGAAAAAAATTCTCCCCCACAAAACACACACACACACATGCAAGTTTTTTTGCTCATCAAAAGGCGCAATATGAGGCCAATAAGCCGATATATAATAGGCCGAAACCAAAAAAGACAAATTAAGGACAAAAAGCTTTAACAAATCGAAATGGCAACATTCACAACCAACATAAAAAAGCAAACTTCGAATAGGATGAATATTCACAAGGCTAAAATGCTCAAAGTTAGCGGACCAGAAGATGAATGAGTTCACGGGATGTCCTGTGAACAAACTATTAACGGAAATAACAGAAAAAACTTGCTGTGGATAATTCTAACATCAACATCCAATTAAAAGACAGAAACAAAAAAATTAGACAGTCGTTCGTAATACATAGCAATTTGTGCTCTATCTTTTTATAGTTTTGATTACAAATCAACGATAAAAAACCGCAATTATATCCGGAACGCAAAAGATAATAATTCGTTGTCGATCGAGAATGGAATGAAATTAACTGGAATGAAAATCTTGAAAATTGAATCTCAACACAAAAGTTGCTCATATAAAAAATATTATTATCTTTTTCAATCGGTTGAAGTAGTTGGCTTCAAAGCACGACCCATACTAAACTCACAAACAGAGCCAGCAGACAGTTGGAGAAGTGCCAATGAACACGGTAACCAAAAATTGGGTTTTTCAGAACAAATATTTAACTATTTAAACCTATGTGTCAAAAAAACTTTGAAGCGTCTTTAGCACGTACTACACGAGGCAAAGAGGCTTGAAGAAAACGCTTTAGCATTCATAAGACGCTTCTAACTAAACGTAATGATCTCGAAAAGCAAATGTGAACGTTTCTGCCAAAAAATTACGCCTCTTAGAAAGCAAAATATACGATTTGTGTCTAAGATTCAGTATGGAAATACATTCCATTCTAGGGAAGCGCGGCTCACTGCATGCTCGCCAAGTGTCCGTTGAACAAGTTTGCAACGATAAAAAATCAAGTATCTGATTTCATAACACTTTAAATGTCCATTGTTACAAAATCAGGGATTGCGTTTTTTTTTTCATTAACAACTTGTTTAACAGAAACTTTCGCCAACGTGCAAAGAAGCGGCTTAACGCCAATATGTTTATTCGTACCCTGCATAGGTTTACTTCATGATACTCAGATATCATCTATTTTTTGTACCTCGATTTGGCCCTTCATTACACTCAATTGCATGGGGGCGCTGCTGACTGCATGCTGCCCGAGGTGTTTGTTGAACACATTGGCAACGAGAAAAAATCTAGTATTTCTCATTACTAAATTAGAATTGAAAATAACTTCAGCAAAAAAAGATGCAAAAAATCATAGCTGCGACAAACACTTCACACCGAAACAATGAAAATTGGTCTTTCATGTCCTTCGCAACATATAGCAGCTTATTTGTAAATGAAAACTGAAAGCACTCGATCCGGAAAAAAACGAAATAATTCACTAATAGTAATGAGTTTACATCACTGATAATTTCTTTTTGTTATTGGCCACCGGCCCAGCTCCTACCATTCAACCTTGGGCCTTTTTTCCGTGGGGGGGGGGAGAGATGGGCGAAGAGATGTCATCTATTTTGCCGCAGAGGATCCCACCTTGAGAAGGCGGATGACAGTGGTAGCCTCCAACCGTAGCTGATGCGGGATTGAAACCCACGACTTTAGTGCTAATGAGCGCGCGTCTTATCCACTCAGCCCGAGGTCAGAGTCGCAACATGGGTCGCACCAAACATTTTATAAAAAATCGCAATTAAAATATTTCTAACACTTAAGGCAAAAATGGGAATAAAACTTGAATTAATGAATCATCTAATAAAATGACTAACCTAATCAACTCTTCTAAATCTAAATATTATCGTTTTAGCCTATTTTGGGGTAAAGTGAATCTAAACTAAATATTTAATTATCACCATAATCGAAGCTAATATGTTCATCTTGTTAATCATTAATCTAATTTTTTTTTGCTATTTATCAATCTAACTAGTCAAAACTTTGATTCCGTATTCTTCGCTATAGAAACTGGACACCATGTTGAACATCAGCTCCTTCCAAGAATCCATCGCGACTCCTTCGGTCAGATTCGAGTTTATCATCACTTGTAATTTGGCAGCGATGTGAGGATGATCCTTAATGACAGCGTATTGTTTAAGACTCTTCAGCATCACTTGTGAACTTTGACCTTTCTTTGGACTTTTATCCCCTGACGTATCATTAAGATTATTTCCAGAACTGGGCATCAATGATTCGATCTGCAGTTGTAAGAAACATGCGATGGCTTTGCAGCAAACTCTGAATGTTTGAGAGAGCTTTGAAGCTGCGCCCAGCCCAATCATTCCGCGTATTCCTCCGCTCTCTCGATCCTCACTGAGTTCGTTTAGATAAGTCATGAAATTTCGACTCAACTCTACAAATTTTATCGCATTCGATGAAAACATCACCTTTCCTAGTTTCTCCAGACATCGCGAGAACAACAGAAACGCTTTAACTTCGCTTTCAGCTGTCAGAGCTTTCGAATCATTTAACCATGTGTAAATTAAATTCAAAACTTCTTCTTCTGATAAATGTTGCGATCTCAGATAGACTTCAAGGACAAAATAGAAGCATTTCTTGGAACAAGTGGCTACAAATTCAGCGCGTCCTGAGTATGGCAACTCCATGCTGTTTGCAATAGTCTCCCAAGACCGCACAACTCCTTGAGTTGGTTTGAAATATGCCTCGCACGCACACTCGAGAAAGTGGGCCATTGTTTCAATATTGGCCATATCTTGACAAAACACGACCATAGTGAACGCCAAGAAGTCATGGTTCTCCAAATCGAAGGCCCATCTTCGAAAGCCTTCCAGGGTTTTGGTTGTTTGCTGGTCATAAGGCACTGAGTTTATTAGTTTCACGATAGGTTTCATGAGGTGTAAGATGGCCGACGCCGAAGTGGACGTCGGATCCAGGCCTGTACTTATGAATGTGAACAGAGACTCGATCACTTCTGACAAGTGTTCAACTGTGGTGACTTTGATCACACGTGATGTCAGAATATCCATGAATGTCAGCTTATGATCGTAGGAGCTTTCTCTGTTTACGGTTTCAAAATCATCAGTCGGTGAGATAGTGGTGAAGCCGCTTGCTTCAATTAGGAGTTTGAACACACCAAATGGGTTCCGTAAAGACAGCGAATTTTGCTTGTAGTAGAACTTGAAAAAAAGTGATAAGACTATCGTTAAGTATTCAGGCGACAAATGCTGCCAATTAACGTCGCGAACTTTGTCCAACTTTCCAACAATAAGAGCACATGTATTTTCACTGAAAGCATCGTCAGTTTCGAGTAAGACTGACAGCAGCAAGAACCTATGCAACGCTGTACTCGCAACTTCTGGGTCCATTTTTACATGCAGGTCGCAATATTTTGCCCAGTCTATGCTCAAGAAAATCTGGACCGCAAACTCTTTTGGGTTGATATTCGGCTGCTGGCGTATGAGTAGCAACACGTCTACACTTTGTATATTAGGGATGAAACTTTTCCAGGGCAGGTTCAGGAATGTCTTGAAGTAGTGATTCATCACATTGTTTGATTTACTTGCAGGACACAAAACATGGTTGAAATACATCAAGAAATGGTGCATGTAAGAAGGAACTGAGATGTCAAACTCAACCAAGGAGCTTTCTTGACTCATCGCCTCCAAAATTGCCACCGTAAAGGCAGTACAAGCAACATCAAAGTTAGAGTCCGTCCTTTCATTGTCCTCATTCGGATCCGAGTTATTCGGTTTCGGCAGTTGAAATTTGTCGTCAAGAGTCAAAGGCGCAATAAGCGGTGAAAATAAGGCTGTAAGTTGGTTCCAAATATTCAGCGACAATTCTGAAGAGGAAATTTGATTTCGAGCAAATTGGAAGTTAACTGATTGAATGACTATTTCAGCCAAAAGTATCATAAATTTACTGATATCTTCTATGTAGAAATCGAACAACTTGATCAAAGGGATTTCCCAATTATTGACCCGCGATTGGTGGAGAAAATCCGAGATATTTGTTGTAAAGTGACTTGAGCTGAACAGCTGCACGAATGATTGCAACTTTTCGCAATTGGAGAATTCACTTTTAGTCTTTTCCGGGTCATTCGTCGATACAACTAATTTTTCCATTCCGCAAAAGGTCTCAAAATCTTCCCACAGTTGAGGACTTGCTCTTCCTGCCAGTGACATTTTAAGAATGCCCAGCAGAAAAGTGGGAAACTCAAGAACAAAATTATCGTCCAGAAACATGAGCGCATGTCCACTGGCACAAGTGTAAGTCCAGTTAAACTCCTCTGTAACTTCTTTTCCCACAAATTGAAGTAAGTCGAAAACACATCCAAGAACTGTTGATCTCAAACTCGCATTGCTAGTCTGTGAAAGCCACGAGGCAAAATCGAATTTTGTCAGAAGCAATTCGGCGTGCGCTTTGTCAAAATTCGCTATAATTCTCGCGGATAATTTTTGATAGAAAGCACAAAACTTTCCGTGCGCTAATTCTGGTCTGAAATAGGCGTTTAGACTTTGCACTAGAAATGGTTTCGTCAACAGCACGTCCAAAAGTTGGACTTGACTGTCGCCAGAGTTAGCAATGAAATTCGAACCCAACAGGTTGAACAAAATTTCGGTTATTTTACCGAACGGTGGGTAGGTCAGAACTTCTTCGGAAAGTATATTGGCGATCAGGAAGAAAAGATCGATCGAGTTATTTGTCGCCACTTGCTTATCGGTTGGTGAGCTTGCGTGCGCTTGAGAAAGATCGATTAGCCGGTTCACAATTTCTTCCATAATTTCGACCGCGTTTACCACTTCCAGAGGACATTTGATATCATCGGTGACTGATTCTAGAATCTTCTTCCAAATTCGATCAAGCTCGAAACTGACAGCCAAGTTTTCAGATTTGCAGTTGTAAGACAGGTCGAACACTACAGGGCCACTGCAGCGATGTCTTTGCAGCATGCTTTCACAGTTCAACACTTTTTGCAAAGTCGTTACTTTATTCTCATACTGCTGCGGGGTCAATTCGGTGAACTTGTCAAAATCATTGGACAATTCTTTCCAAACAGAAACCTGTTTCTGAGCAAACGAGGTCAAAGAATTGAAAGATTTTCCAAAATATTCGAGGAGACTTCGGTTTGAAATCAGCAGTTGAGAATCGACCGAGCTGAGTGGAATAACTGATGCCTTTACCTCTGGTAACTCGAAATGACGATAGACGAACTTCGATTTAGCTCTCTCAATTCTATACTTGGCAGCTTCGGTCGAGAAGTCAAAGTTCTCCACCATAACAACTGGCTTCTTCAGATACGAATAAAGTTCATCATGCCATAATTTCATGCACTTTATTACAATACCTTCCGTTTGGATTTCAGCCGTGAAAATATCCAGAGGTTTGATTCCACATGTAATTACATCGATTAAACTTTGAGGTATGTAATTTTCGGGTAAGTTTTCAAACTTAACTGTCGTCGTGTGTAGCCTCGGTTCATCTGCCCACAGTGAGAACGCCTCCAAGTGTCTACAAATCGCCTCCTTTCCTGTCATGTTTTTCACATCGTAAGAAGAAGAGCCCGAATAGAGTTCGCCCAAGTCAACATCAGAAGCATCTACTTCCTCTTCCGAGTTTTCATCTGACATTTTCAACTCTGTTTTCAAGTCTCTTCGCACCTTCGCGGCGTCTTCAAAGCGAAGCTTGAGCTTCTTTATGGTTCCCATGTAGTAGTAGCTAGCAAAGAATCTTTCACCGACACTGTTTGAAGAATTGACACCGGATGAGCCGATTGTCGCACCTGGCCGGAAGAAGTACCGACTGAAGAATAGCTGGGACAACAAGGGAAACGCCACATGATTGCTCTCTACTAGCATCAAAACATCTACTACTAAGTAAATACTCAGTGATGTTTCTGAGAAGGTACAAGACCACTTTTCCAACTGAAGGTCTTTCAGGATTGCTCCTGGCGCATTCTGTACGTTTTCTAGCATCTTTTCAATTAAAGGGTTCCAGATTCCATTTTGGTCCTCGAAATTAATTTGAGCGATGAGTGAAAAGTAAGAAACAAATCCAAACTCTGGGTATGTTTTGTAACAAGGCAGCGGCGTGAAATATTTGTGAGATGAGAAGAGTCTGAATCCTTTCGACACATCGACTCTCTGTATTTCTTCGAGATGTCTGAGAAAAGTGATTCTCACGCATTCACGGAGACACTTGGAAGTGAAGGAAAAGAAGCAGAGCTGTTCTAGGATGTGCAGCAGGTAGTAATTAAAAGAGAAGCCAGGATAGGACAAAATGACAGACAGAAGGAACTCCATCAAGTACTTCGAGTGCTGTTTGTTGATTGACTCGACAGACTGCAAAAGCGACACAATCATAGCTGAAAGTAGAGACGTGTTAGGTCCTGCTTCTGCCACCAGTCCCATTTTGTGCGAAAATGAACTATCGCCTTGACAAATGTTGACCAGAATCTCTGCAAAGCAACTTTTCTGAACAAAGAGCACGTCCAGATTTGAGATTTCGAACTTAAGTTTCGCATCCAAAATATGAACCACTGGTTTTAGGAACCCACTTAGTGTCAGCTGTTTCAACATTTTCAGACCTCCGTTTGATAGACTGTACATATGACTAGAAGAATCGCTGCTCACAAGAGCAGCATACATCGCCAGGAAGTGTCCGTTAGGAACCACTTTTGATTCTGCTTTGAGCTCAGTACCTTTCATTTCTAGAACATTGCCCTTCACTTGCATAATCGTAACCATTTTCCACGCCCAAGCTGCAAAGTTCTGAATGGGGTTAGAAGTAACCGCAGGAGGGGACTCTGGGCTTCTGGCATGTTTGGCATCTAGAGGAACATCATTGATCTCAGATTTCACTACAGTTGAAGAGTAGATGTGGAGAATGATTTCCAGGACTCGATTTTGGATCAATGTTGGAATCAACAGCTTGCCCGATTCATCGGTTATAAGCCAGTCAATATAGGACAACACCTTTCGCGCTAAGACGTTCAGCGAGTGCTGAATATCGTAGAACTCTAACCAGTGCAAGAGTAACTCAACGTCTGATAGCGACGGAATCCACTGGTCCAGACTGATTTCCAGGAGGAAATTCATGCTGATATCGGATAGCATCTTCTCCCAATTTCTGTTGATTTTGTTCAAATAGAAAGTCACCAGTTCCACATGGGTTGTTAGCAGGTACGAAATGAGATTATGGCCGAACTTGAAATAGTTTTCTTTATGTTGCCCACTGATATATGATATATAGAATAGCGCATTCATTGTAAAAACCAAGAGCTCTTGGTCAACGAAACTACAATCTCCGATTATTTTGGACAAGGTTGAAAGAAGAGCCGCTCCACATACAAAAAAACTGTTTTGTAATTTCTCGTCCAAACTACCAAAACTGTTCAGGCCGTCAAGGAAAAGATCTTTTGGATCACGGTCGTACTGTAGGAGATCTTCAATTTCCACACACTGTTGCGGACCAATTAGCATGTAAGCTAGTTTCCAGGCTGTATTTGCTCTTGCAAACGCAAAATTAAAGTTTTGAATGGACGGAAAGACGTTTTTGTCATTAATATTTTGACACAGAAGCGAGAAAGTCCGCATCAGTAACGCTTCTACCTCTTGTTGCAGTATTTCATTTTCGTCAGATACAAATTTAACACACTCGATTTCTTTGAAATGGATGATATAAGAATTGATTGTGAAATTGACTAACGCAACACAATAGCTCGCGACACGTTTTCGCAACGAAGCGTATCTTTCCAAACTGTAGTGTTGAAAACAGTCTCCGAAGGGTGTCAAAAGGTGGTTAAAGTACGCAATACTCTGCATAAAAATCTGTCTGTTGCTCATAATTGAAGACAGACTCGATAGAATCTTTTCCAAGGGAAGTCTTTCAATAAAACCGAGAACGTTCGATTCTTCGAAGAGGTGCCAACTTGCTTCAGGACATTCAGACTCCTCGCCACTATCGTCCAGAAGAATCCAATTACACTTTCCATCATTGTCTGCATTCATTCCCACATCTGGCGTCTTTTCCAGCTCCTTCAAATATGCCGACCTTTGCGGAACGGATGAAAGCATGAACTTGGCTATTAGCAGTGTGTGGTCTAGAGCAACAACCGTCGCCTCCGAAACCGAATTTGGAGTTGAATTGAAGGTCGGCAGATGAATTAACGTGAACACATCGTCATTACATACACTGGCCGGAAGTCTGAGAGCATTATTCAGAAGCATTATGTGATCGGAAAGAGTCGAGCACCGCAGGAAAACTGCACAACATTTATGAATCCATTGGATTATGTCATTCACAAACTTGTCATCGCTTTTCGGTTTTCTCAAAAAATGGAACAAAACATTCAGTATTTTATGCATTTCTGAAACAGCTCTTGAATTGTGAGGCGAGAATCTGAAGGTAGCGTTCCTCGTATTCAAGTCTGGCTTTTCGATTGCCACGAAATTTACTAGAAATTTGTTCAGAAACTTCTCAATCTTCACCCATGATAGTTCGTTTTCGAATTGGACCCGACTCAGGTGAACAGTCAGGGTCTTCTTCATAGAGTCCCAGAGATTTTGGAACATTTTGAAAGTGGACTCGCTGAAGTCTGCGTACTCATACTCGTGGGTCAGCGTCACAGTTCGATTATCTCGGCAAGCTTGCGAATTAGTCAAAACTTTGGTCGAGAAGATCCAAAATGATTTTGTAAACCCACTCACGGTTGATTTCAGCTCCTGCAGTTTCTTCCACGTTTTAACGTACGCAATACGTGAGTTGTAATGTTCTTGCACTAAACTCCAGAGTTCGCAATCATGGGTTGTTCCCTTTGATAACAGAAACTGGTCCAGCAGTTCCGCAAACGCTTGTATTCCAAGAGGATTAAATGATGCATTCAACTGTTCACGCGTCAGGGGATTCGGAATTTTGGCTGCAGTCTGAGATTCGATTTGCGATATCTGCAGTTCGGTCCAAGAGCCTAATAATTGGTTGTTATTATTTGGCACTGACGCGTTACTCTCTTCGCTAAAAGGATTAGAGGCTGAGTCAATGAGAGACTCCGGTGGCGCATTTTCAAGAGCTTCCAGGGGCTCAGATTGACTGTCAAGGACATTGAAAGGGTTCGATGTTTCTCCTTCGTCGTCTTCCACGTTTTCAAATGGATTTGAGAACTGATCTTCAGGTACTGTAGGGGGATACACGTTTGCGTCCGGGTGGGCTACAACAAAAAACTCTTGTAACAATTGAGGGAAGAAAAATCTTCTTCGGGTGCATGAGTAGATTTTTTGGGAACCGTATCAAACACATAAAAGCAAGATAAGCAAGCTGCCAATAAACACCATGTTGCGACCGAAAGCAAAAAAAATAATAATATGTTTTTGAAGGGTCTAGGAAAATAGGCCGACGAGATTAAGCCGGGACTTTAGGCCCGTTGATATGGCACGGGACTCCAGTGGCGTATCCACAAAGTCATCATAGTAATAGCAATAAACAAACCGAGTTCGTAAAATAACAACCAACATTAAAATAAATTTCGACACAGAAGCGAAGCTGCGCTTGGCAAAAACTTGCGAGAACACGATCGAAAAGCAGCTCTATCAAGTGATATAAGAAAAAAGAGAAATAAGCCTCGAATTAGCAAACATCTGCGACACAGCAAATTTGAGTCTCACGCACTACCCATTCAGCCACGGATGCTTAAAATCCCCAAAAACTAGCCACCAATAATGCAGCTACATATGCTAATAAATTGCCAATTCTATACAGCAAAAGATACAATTTTGCATATAAAAAAATCGCAAATGATAAAGTCACAAAACTTCATGCATTTAAAAAAATTGCGAGATATATTGAGTTAGAAAATTTCTGAAATCGAGATTTTATTATTTTAATGTTGTTTGAAACAAATAGCTTTCTTCGGTTCACTTGATGAATTAAAAATGCATCAACTGTGTAAAATTATAACTATTCGAATCTCAAAGCACATGTTATGAATAAGCTGTAAAGGTGCAATTAAATTTCAAAGGTGCAACAAAATATCAAAAACCTTATTGCTAATTCGACGCAGCAAATATTGTTGCTTTAAGTCGCAACAATAATTGCGACTTGGTCGCCGCAACAACAATTGCGACTTAGGTTGGAAAAAAACTAAAGTTCGTACAATAACACAGTGTTCGCAAGTGTAAATAGGTCAGGCATTGAAAAAGCAAACAAGCACAAAATATATCTACAGTGGCAAATTGCTGCTACCATATTAATCGAGGTTGCGCCCAAAAATTATAAACAATTAAAAAGCCGAAAAAAGCAGGGGTAAATAATAATAATAACACAGAGGCAAAGCTTTGCTTCGCAGACACTTTCGAGAAAACGACAAAAAGCAGCTCTTTAAAAGGCCAATAAAAAATTAGAAATAAGCCTCGAATTAGCAAAAATTCGATGACTTACTTCTGAGATTCGAACCTGTGACCTAGAGAGTAAGGATCTCACACACTAACCACTCAGCCACAGAAGCTTAATTTAATATACATCAAAAGTTACACAAAAAAAAGCAAAGAACAGATGCTGTGCAATTTCCACTACTACAGTTAAATTTCCAAATAAGTGAATACTTTTAATGAACACTTTTATTTGCGAGTTAGGCCAGAAAAAGGTCCGTAATAACACACGACGCTGATCGCAAGTCTAATGATAGCGAATACTTTCACTCTGTCTTCATTCAATCCTTTTATATGGATAACTTTAACTCAGACCAAGAACACAAAATAACGAAAACATTTCAAATTGGACTGAAGAAAAGATCAGCCAAAGCTTTAAAAGCGTTATATTTAGTTGAACGCAATATCTCATTGTTAACAAAAGATCCATTAAATTTAAAGCCTGCAAAAAGCATGCTGCCATGATTGCAAGCTATGGCCCAGCTTCAACTAATAAACCATCTAAAACCAATTGAAAATGTTCAAAAGTAGGCAGAAGGAAAGCCCCACCTTGGATGACAAAATCAGCCCAAGCATACAAACAGCGGATGCTTCATATAAAAAGTCTCCCTTTATCACAAACGTTGCTTTCCTTTGATTGCACAAAATTATTAATGATTAAATTGAACTGATATCAGGTGCCAAAATTTCACACAGGCAAAGCTGAGCTTCGCGCCACTTGATATGCAAAACAAGATGCAAAAAAAAATCGAAACTGTCGACATCTATCAAAATTTAAGAAAAGCTTCTTTTTAAACAAAAACATGCAAAGACAAAAAAAATAAGGCGATAGCATCGATCGACAGAAAAATTAGCATGAGGTAAGAAAGCCGAAAATATCCAGGCAGATACCCTTCAAGTAAAAAAAAATCAACAAAACCTAAGACTTTTAACAAACATTGAATCCCTTGATCCTCACGCACACACACACAAAACAACTTCGTTCACTCGTCAAACGAAACAAATTGAGACGACTAAGCAGATATAATAGAGGCCGAAACGTATCCAGGCGAAAAGAAAAGAAATTAAAAAAAGCCGAAAAAAAAAACTGAAAAAAATTAAGACTTATCAACATTTATCAATTCCCCCTCGCCCTCAAAACGCACATACACGTAGACATTTTTCGCTGGTAAAATGACGCCACTAAGGCAATATAATTTATGCTGAAACCTACCAAGTCGAGAAAGTTAAAAATGAAAACCAATGAATTTTAACAAACCGAGTTGGTAAAATTACAACCAACAAAAAAAAACAAATTTGGAAAAGGTCAGGCATAGAAAAAGCTATGAAGCACAATCTATATCTACAGCGCTAAATTGTTGCTAAAATGTTAATCGAGGTTGCGCTCAAAAATTATTTAAACTAAAAAGCCGAATTTTTTTTAATTAAAAATAATTCAAAAAATTTAACACAATTTTTCATGTTTTTTTTGTAAATTTTATTAGGGAAGGCCTAAAAGGGCTATTTAGATTTGTCAAAACTTCCATTTCATGATCGGAACAAAGGCGCACTACTTTCATTAACGACACTAGCTTTCTCAAGTGTAATTATTATAAGGTTTTGATATAAATTGGAGAAAATACTCAGGCTTCGAGTGAAAAAAATGCTGTTTGCAATTGAAGCATGTAATCAACCCAGAAAATCAATCTAAGTGATTACTGTTTGTTTTGTATTTGCGTTTTTTATAAATTACTTCCTGAACACACACTGCAGCACCCATACAAACAATATACAATACAATTTTACTCACCAAATGTGACTCTGTGACGTCCTTTTCGAACAGCAGCCGCCATGCTTAGAACAAGACTAGAAGAATGTCATCATATTGCGACTAATGATGACTTTGACAATAGCCAAACAAACAACTTTTGTTCTTTCGTCCAATTTGTTTGATTTAAGCGATCAAATACTGCTCAATGACGCAGGATCTCATCAATTTAACGGGTAAAAGCAACTGGAAATTCAAATCACACTGACATCTAAAAAAGAATAAATGGTTTCAGCGTTTAACTTGCAGAAAAAGCTCAACTATACATGAAACGCTTAAAACCCAAATTATTTCGAGCGATTCGTACCACCAGTATCAGGTCTATTGAAGATATGAAGAGCAATATTTAGGAAAAAATGTATGGCGATATGGAAACATTGAAATTAGTAAGTACTGATTTTTTCTAAAATGAACCATAAGTTTCTTGTATAAGTGTATAATAATCTACTTTAATCAGAGGGTCGAAAATATCATACACAGGTAGACAGGTTATTTCTGATCTATAGGCTTCTCAGCCTCTGTCGATCAGCTCCATCTGTGGACGTCCAATTCGTCATTCGAGAAAGGATGTATCATAGATGTCGTTTTCCAAGTGTTTATCCAGATTACTTTTTCGAGAACATTTTGCTAAGAAAACCAAGTTAGCTAATAGTATGGTTGGAATTATGAAGAAAGGATTTTTGAACTTAACGGAAGAAATCATGGCGACTCTCTACCAAACCTTGGTACGACCGCATCTGGAATACGCCAATCAGTCGTTGAACCTATTCCTGAAAAAAGAAGCGATTGAAAATTTTCAGCGAATGTCAACCAGATTCATGCCAAGCTTATACGAATAACCTGTATTTATATAACTTATTTTAAATAACTTATACTTATAATTTTTAAAATTCTCATATACTTATTCAAATAGCTTACTATGAAAGATTGAAAATTTGAAGCTTCCTACCCTGGAATACAGAGGAAAACGTGGGCGTCTGATAGAAGTGTACAAAACCTTGAACTGTGTTTAAGTTTTAACAGCAACTGAAGGAATGCTTACAATAGATGAAAAAAAAATCTTGTGGAAATCCATGCAAATCCATGCAAATCTACATTTAACATTTCCAGTAAAGAAAAAATGTTATTTAATTTGTGTTATAATCCAAGCAGATCAAACTTTTTTGATTTTTTGGAACAATTAACGCTTAACATAGATTATGCATTTTCAGTTTCTAATAAAATTACGCTTCTGGGTGATTATAACATAAATTATCTGGATAGCAAAGAAAAAGAAAATTTAGATTCTATAATAATTCCATATGGATTGAAGGTTTTTTGTCCAAACGATGAGACCAGAATTAGTTCCTCAACTAAAACTCATGTCGACTACATTATCAGTGACTATGAAACAAACGGCATTGCATTTTGTTTTGATACACCTTATAAAACCGACCATTTTGCTTTATTTATTTTGACGGATATAAAATGCGGCAAAAGTTTACCGAGGATAATTTCGACTTTCAATAAGAAAAATTATCAGAAAAATGAATTTTGCAATACACTCTCCGCTCTTCCTTGGTATCTCTTATATCAATGTACAGATGCACAAAACATGTTCTCGACGATGATTTATTTAAATTCTAGTGCTCTTCAGCAACATGCTCCTATCGAAAAAAAACTTGTTCGTAATTTTAAACCAAAAAATGTATTGAAAACGGAATGGTTCGATTCAGAATGTCAGCAATTGTTGATTAAGAAACAGAAGTCACTCAGATCATATCGCAGTCAAAGCACAAGCGATAATTGGTCAAACTACCAGTTTTTACGTAATCAAATGCGCCAATTGATTAGAAGTAAACATCTCGATCATTCAAAAAATTGTTTTTCACTTCTCAGCACTATCCAACAAAAATGGAAATATATTAACCAAGTTAGAGGTACATGTTCTGGCAACAATCGAATTACAGTTCTACGAAACCCAGTTCTACGATAACCCAAGACAAAAAAATTGCCAATCATTTAAATTATATTTTTTCAAACTTAGGCGAATTTTTCGGCGCTAAAAAGCCTCCGAATTACAACAAATCTGCCTCTGAATCTAAGCCTTTCCATTTTCAACACATTACTGTAACATTCGTCTACTGCAGTCACACATGAGGCTCAAGAAAAATAGGCCCTATAATCATTGGCTCAAGAGTCAGGGACACTATCTCTTGTGTTTTTGTACCTCAAATCAGTCGGAGCCAATTCGGTTCGCTTGTGACATGAGACTACGACCCGTTACAGCTTAAAGGCTACTACTAAAATATCCCCCCACTCTAGAATTAGAAACGTCCCCATACTTAGGTCTCTAGATACCCAAAATACATGAACGCCATTAAAAACCGGGTCGGAACAATCCATTAAGTTACTTTTTATTAGACAGTGGAACTTTGATCCATTTCAGATGGATCAACCTAAAACTCGCCTTACCTCAACATAACAATTGTAAAACACACTCTAGAAATTTAAATTAGTACTCACATTGTAGCACGCTCAAGAACCAGGAAGTAAATAAGTCGGTGAGCAACTCAAGAATCAATAAAGTAACTAAAATGAGTTTAATGTTAGTCAGTTTTAATAACAAGAACAAGTTTTTACTCTAGACTGTAAGTTCTCGTGAACCATTGGGACACTCTAGCTGTCCACCTTTCCACCGAAGGTTCACTCTAGTCCAGTTTAGAATAATATTCCAATCACAACAATCCAGTTCGTGGCAATGCGCTCGTCTCTGTTTTAGATGGGACAGCTCTACTCTCGATTATTATTGCTACTGAAATTGCGAATAGCAATTTCCCACTGATTTTTCTAGCAATTTTCCCGCGATTGTCACTCGATCGTTCTGACTTCTCTTTTCTGATTTTCAGTTATCGCGAGAAAATCGTGCATGACAGGTTCCATTCGAAATTTTATAAAATTAAATTTCATTCCAAAATTAAGTGTTTTTTGCTTCTCTCAAGGTCAAACTTCCAAATCTGGCCGACTGGCACATAATCCCCGGACTCGAGATCGATATCCTCATCGCGTGCTGTCTTCTGCCAGTGAGTCCCAGAAAACCGAGTGTTACTCAAGATACAGTGCCAGTGGTCATTTACAGAAGTTTGCAGCAGACTTAAGCTTATCTACACCCCAAAATTCACAGCCATGTAAAATTTTCACACTATCGCTAAACAGCAATCAAAATCTGCACACACCTGCACCCTTGAATTCTCGCTTTTCAAGCCAATTTAAAATTTCTTTTGTCCCATTCAATTAGGAAATTGTCATGCAGCATTTTCGTTTATATAATAGATATAGCATATTAATAACAATATCTTGTTTTGTTAAAACTTCTTTTTCGTGAACCCAGGTTTCACCCGGATCCACGCCCAAGCCCCCTTTCCCTCTCAAGACTCAAGATCCATTCGAGCCACCTGCTCATCTCGCACTCTTCGCCTTGGAGGTACTGCACCCTGAAGTACTAGATACGGCAAACTGTCTCAACAGTTCCTCTTTATCATCGGAGCTAATCACAATCTCCTCCCAAGCCTTCAGCTGCTCGTAGGATCGCATCCATTCTCTTTGCTCTTGCAACCTCTTTGCTTGGTTGGGTAGTGCCTTCACCCTAGATTCCCGGTTCAAACAAAAGGAGTTGTGCAGGCTCAAGCTCACGTTCTTCGCCAGGTCCTCCTCTAGTATCGATTCCCTCGCCTTGGTATTGTCTCTAGACATTTTACCCACTCTCTTCCATCCTGTCGTGATTGCATTACGATGGATTAACAGGGGTCTCTTGAAAGCTTCCGGCCCAATCTCGGCCTGGAACTGTCGATACTCCTTTTGATGTTTTCTCATGTGATCTTTCGTTGTCATGTACAACCAGGACGTCAGCGTCGCCCGAAACCATGGGAAGTACCTCAAACGGCTCCAGACATGTCTGACTTCCGTTGGTATGGCGAATACCTTGCACGCAGTCTCAAACAACTCGAGTCTCCTACTGTAGTCTATCGCGTATATTGACTCAGCCGTTGGCGTCCCCGCTTCCCGATACTTCGTTATATTCTCTTCTATCCATCTCAGAGCCAACATCGTACTCACTACCAAGATCGTCACCTTCTGTCGGTGATCCGGTAGTCAGATCGACCGGATTTCTTCCATATCCCATACCAGGCAAAGGTTCTTGTGATCTGGATACCACACCGTTTGCGCCAAACAGTGGCATGGGCATTCTCCATGGGTGATCTCAATGCTCCTGAGGTTACGCTCCCCCGAGGCTTCCAAGAGAGGCTCAAGCTCCATCATTTTCTCATGCATCGTGTCGTTGTCTTCCAGGTTTGGAGCACTTCCCACAGGTTTTCCGATCACGTTTTGTCTCTCGTGATCGCTTGTGTTCTCTCTCTCCAACTTCAAAAGTTCTTCTCCCCAGATTTCACTCAAGTCATCTCTCAATTCTTTTGGTACTGTCCCTCTGATTTTTCTCAACAACTTGTGCGAGTGATGCGATATCCTAGCCAACCTCACGCACTTGGGCACTGAGAAGGCCTTGTCCACCAGTACTCTCTGGCTGGATGCTTCCACCATCACCATGTGCAGTGGGTAGTGACTTCCGCACAAGTTGGCCATCATTGACCCTATCAGGGATTTTGCGTTCAATGGCAGGCCATAAGCTTCGCTCATGGGAAACCCCATTTCTGCCTCAAGACCAACCTTCCAGCTCCGGATGTGTTTTTGAGTCACCTGCAACACCCCAGGCCATGATTCTACGCTCAACGCCGTCACCCAATGGTGTTCAGACTCTAGTCTTTCCAATGACTGCAAACTACACATTCTCGAGAAGAATCCGAGAGCTGTTGCTATATTCACCGTGGTTCTCGCGTAACACTCCGCTACTATCTGCACTTCACTTCTCTCCCTTTCTGTGATGTCTTCGAACCAAGTGACCAGGTCTTCTTTTTGAAAGGACAGTATTCTGACGCATGACCGTCCATCGCAGGTGTGCTCTCCGTTTCCACACGTCGAATCCAGACAGCTACCCGGCTCCAATTTCTTCGCTGACCCGGGATTGTTCGTCTTTTCGCTTGGCTCTTGCATCTGAGGTGAGATTAGCTTATGCAGCACACTCAACTTTGCCAGATCTTCATCTTCCGTTGGTGCTAACCTCACTCGCTTGGTGGTTTCCTCGATCAGACTCGCGTGGGGATGTGGACACCA